CATTTTAATAGTATGCTCAATGAAACTCACCTTAGAAGAATAAGCCAAAATCCTCCAAGATGAGATCTATAGCAAATACAACATGCTCTAAGTAGTTATTTCAGACAGGGAGCCTTAATTTGTCTCCAAATTTCTTGATGACCTCTATTGAATGCTTAGCATCAAGTGAAATGTGTCCACCACCTACCACCCACAAACTGATGGGCAAACAGAGTGCACAAATCAAGAAGTTGAAAAATACCTTCAACTCTTTATCAACTACAAACAAGATGATTGGACAGAATGGCTAGCACTTACAGCCTTTCAACATAATAATCACATACATTCAGCAACTAGAAAAACACCATTCTTTATCAATCATGGTTGTCACCTCAATATAGCCTAAATGACATGCATATATGCCACAACCCCCACATCTACAGACTTTGCCACCACAATGGCAAAGATTCACAATAAAACCAAGGCAGCTCTAGAAAAAGCTGCAACAACAATAAAAACTCAATATGACAAGTACCATCATACTGCATATACATACTCTATCAATAATAAGGTTTGGTTGGATACAACAAACCTTCACCTTTCTTAGCCAAAACAGAAGCTCTCTGACAAGAGAATGGGTCTATTCCTCATACTCAAAAAAATTGGCAGCTCTGCATACAAACTGCAACTTCCTATAACCTGAAAAATCCATGATGTCTTTAATGAATCATTATTGATGCCATATATAGCACCAGCATTCCCTAACCAAGAATGACTGCCATCCCCACCACTGGACCTCATTAACAATAAGGAACATTATAAAGTCAATCAGATATTAAACCACAAACTGCAAAAAATCAGAGCAAAAAGAGATGGCATGATGATCACTATTGACTATTTGGTTAGTTGGGAGGGCTATGGGCCAGAATCAAACCAGTGGGTGAACAAAAAGCTGATAAGTGCAAACAAGGCCATATGTGACTATGAATTATCCCTAAATTAAACCATTAGGATGATGGTCTTAAGGAGGAGGTAATATTATGATTTTTCTCTTCTTTCTTCTCTTTCTCTCTATTAACCCCTATTTATGCTTAGTCAGAGCATCTAAACAAAGGTGCTTAAGACCATGAGACAAAGCTTAGTCATCATAACTGGCCAAGTCAGTCATTGTCTTTTGATGTGACAACACTGCCCGATGATGCACAATTAACCTTTTATGTATGGTAACAATGCTCAAGGACAAAGAGCACAAAAGACATGACAATGCACAATAGGCAGTAGTATTTATAGTCATTTCTTGTACAGTATTTAAGGAGGCTCACTCTTACTGGTAATCCCCAGCTTCAAGCTAAAGTTTATCTTCATACTATTCTACTCTCAAGCCAATTCACTTGGCCTTATGATACACCAATCAAGAAGCACATCAGTGAACTCAGTCAACTGCCCCAAGTGCAAGGCAGCTTCTGTTTATCATATGTTTCTGTTCATGTGACACTTGGATCTAACAGATACTCAAGGATGCTGACTTTCTTGAGGAGTATGCCATGGCCATTTCAACAGCCAATGCAGAAGCCTTAGAGTCATGTAGTCTAGCTGAAGTAAAGCATCAGCCTGATTGGCCTTTGTGGAAAGATGCAATACAGGAAGAGCTTGCAATATTGAAGACTGTAGGGACTTGGAAAATTGTTGAAAAACCAGTTGAAGCAAATGTTATAGACTTAAAGTGGATCTTTTGAATCAAGAAGAATGCTGAGAAAGGCATAGTCAAGTTCAAAGCTTGTTTAGTAGCACAAGAGTTCTCACAAATATCTGGTATCAACTACTTCAACACTTATGCCTCTGTTGCAAGACTTGCATCAATTCATTCAATTCTTGCTATGGCTGCAGCACTCAACCTAAAGCTCCATCAAGTTGATATCAAGAACACATACTTGAATGAAAAGCTCACCAATAAAAAAATCATTTATATGTGTCAACCTCCTGGCTATCCTGAGTCTGGCTCTCATCCTGGTCAAGTCTGCTGTCTTGTAAAGACTCTGTATGGTTTGAAGCAGAGTGTTCATCACTGGTATCAATGTCTCATTGAGATTTTAGTGATGCAGCTAGGATTCAAGCAGTGTGATATTGATCAAGTCATATTTTACAAGCAGGAGGGCCAAAACTTGACTGTTATTGCTGTCCATGTTGATGACTGCACTATTGCAGCATCATCATTATGTCTACTGTGAGAGATAAAGGAAGGTATGGCAAAATACATAAAAGTCACAGATTTGAGGGAGCTGCACTGGATTCTTGGCATTGAAATCATGCATAACCATGAGTCACACTCTATTTCCCTTCTCCAATGCTCATACATTGATGCCATTATTTATCACTATAGCTTTGAAGACCTCAAACCAGTCTCTACACCAATAGATATTAATCTCCATTTGTCTTTCTTTCCTGCATCAGCTTCTATCCAAGAAATTGCAGCCATGAGAGATATCCCTTATAGAGAGTCTGTTGGCTCTTTGATCTGAGTTATGCTCAGGACATGCTCTGACATCACATTTGCCATGACAACAGTCTTAAAATATTCAATAGCTGCTGCAGAGACCTATTGGAAGGCTGTAAAGCATATCTTTCACTACCTGAAGGGCACAAGAGATTACTGGCTGATGTTTGAGGGAAACAGAAAGATTTTGCATGGATATGTGAATGCTGATGGGAGCATAGCAGAGGATAGACATGCCATTACTGAATATACTTTTATGCTGAATAGTGGAGCTGTTTTGTGGTCATCTAAAAAGCAGAAGATTGTCTCACTTTCAACTACTGAGTCTAAATATGTGACTGCAACACATGCATCAAAGAAGGCACTCTGGCTTTGCAGTCTGTTCTCTCAAGTTTTCTCACCAATTACTGAGACTATAACTTTATTCTCAGATGATCAGTCTGCTATTGCACTCTCAAAAGATCATCAGTATCATACCTGAATCAAGCACATCAACATTTGCTTTCACTTCATTCAGTGGATCATCAGTGAAGACTCTCTTCATCTTGTTTATTGTCCCACTGAGAATATGGTTGCTGATGCTCTCACCAAGCCTTTACCTTCAGCCAAGGTGAAGCATTTTGCTACTGAGCTTGGACTTCACTCTGCTTGAGGAGGAGTGTTGAATTAGCAAGCAGAAGCTCTGTCATATTCTGCTGGCTGAGCTTGATACCCCTTTATATCAGGATAGACTATATATATTGAATATGGTCTATCAAGCACTCTCGCTGCATTTCTGCTTATCACTACACTGTGTGAGGTCTATATTATAGCTAACAGTGTACTCTATTAGGCACTATGAATGTGCATCACTTTCTTAAATGTAGGTTCAGCATCATCAGGATTTCATTGCAAATACTCAATAATGTTACTTTGATGCATCCAGATAGATATCAAACAAAATCTAGGTGTGAAAAGATCTTTATTGACTTCTAAGAGTGGAAAAATATGTGGATGATGCAGCTACCTCCACATCATCACTTCTTTAAGATAGTCTTATGATAGATGCCAGATCAAAGTCAGTTTAACATGATGTTTATCAATATTCACCTTGAATGATAAGCCACAACCAACATTCATAGGAAAATACCTGAGTACTTTTAAACATACAGATAGATGCTTTAGCTCAAGGTTTCCTCTCCAAATATCCTATTCAGTAATAATTTCACTATTCCAATAACAGAATTTCTTCATATACTCATGCAGAATATGCTATCACAAATTGGATTATCACTATCTTTGATAATTGCTTCATTGGCAAGATAGCAAGTTGTCAGGATAATTTCATGGATTCTGCTCAATGTTTGAAGACAACTGATACAATATTATCAGTAGTTATCAATGTTCAATGCATAATTTGCCTTCTTTAATCTTTCTTCAGATCACATTGAAGATATCAGATAATTAGCACATATACCCATTAAAGCATATCAATAATCCATTTGGCCAATGAAGAGACTATAAGATTTATTTTCTCCTAGAGTGATTGACTGAAATGAAGAAGTAATCTGATCTGTGCAATTGAGATGTTGGCTGTGAAGTGCAGTTGTAGATTGTTTCAATCTGTCACTGAAGCAATGGCTTGAATCATTTCACTGCACCACAAATATACACTCAAGATACAACACAGGAATATCAGTATCAACACACACTGTGTTTACATCTCTCGACTTCAATAATATGCCACATTGACTCTTGCTGTGCTTCTGGAAATATGTGATCAGAAACCAAAGATGCCTGAATATAATAAACACATTATGATTTTCTTAATGCTGAATGTAGAGTCAAATGTGAGCAGTGTATATCATTGCCACTTGACAGATGGCTTACTCAATGCAATGCCTCAGCCTCTTCACCCTCAAAACAGTTAAAGAGAGACAAGATAACATGCATTAGGCATACTCCAGATTCCTGGTATCATCTCCAGTGGAAGCTACAAAATATTCATTATGCTGATCTTTGAAAGGAGAAATCTTTATGTGGTAATAAACCACACTTCTGAGCATCAGCAGACAAGGTCTAGATAAAATGACAGCTCTCACTTCAGCTTAAATAATAATTATAAGGCTTGATGATGCTTTACTTTGATAAGGGAATACATGTCTTCTGCATTCTTGAATGATCTGATATATAAATTCCATCCAGCAGTTTGGTCAATTTTTGTTCCTGTTGTTTCTGAATTTTATTAACTTTCATCTTTTGCTTTCTTATGGTTTTTGAAAGTCATGTAAATTTGAGTTTGCCAACTCATATTGATGTTATGGCCACACTTGAGTTTGCACCTTCACAATGAATATTGCTGAAGGTGCACTGAGTTCCTCTAGTAGGAATGGTTGGAAATTGACAGAATGCTGTTGTTGAGAAGACAGCAGATAGAGAAAAATAGACAGAAATGACATATTTCAATGAACTCTAAAAAATGAATGGAGGAAATATTTACTACCACATCCTGAGCCTCTGGATAGTTCTTTATGATAGCCTCTTTAATTTAGCAAAGGTGCCTGCCAGTGCCATATTCATCTAATGACTTCCATTCTTTCTTAGTATCAGCATCTGCATAATGAACTAATTGTTTCTTTTTCTCAGCATTGTTTGTGATGCTATAATCAGAGAACAAGTCCTCCATCTGCAACAAGAAATGCCTTATAGTTTCTGACTTATCACCATCAAATCTAGGAGTGTCCCTAGCTGTAGGTCTAGGCATCTTTTGGGTACTAGTAGACAGGTTCATACCATTAGCAGTTTGAATGGGCTGTGAGTTCATGTTATCAGTCTCAAATGGGTTGACTGTCAGACAACTATTTTCAAAAGACAGGGAAGTTTGTGATCTCAGAGAGAGCATAGGTGTCTGAGCTCTGTTCAGACAAGCAACTTCATTGGCATGAACATGTTGTTCAGCTCTAGCTTGTGGGCTATTAAGAACTGGCGGTCTCGATACTGTAGTAGATGAACTAGTTGGTATGTGTGCACTACACTTTCATTTGGTAACTAAGTTGTTATAATTAGAGGGTGCTCCAATGCCTGTGGCTCTGGGATTCACAGTTTTTCTTCTCGAGGGCCTCGTTGCAGTTCCTAGTGGAGAATGTACAGAAGCCGATGTTTGCATGGGTTCTGTGGCTTTATTCTTGCCTTTTGCTTTCGCGGAGGCTGGAGGGGCGAACAGATTGTTCAGAGAGAGCAACGAAGTGGTGCAATATGTCCGAGGTAGCATATTCTGCCAAAGATTTCTGTGTTATATTTTAACTCAGTTGAAGATTGATTGAACATAAATCAACTTGCTATGCTTTCCAGCCGCCACCGCCCTCTTGAAGATATGAGCCCCTTCAGTAATCGTGGTAGGCAGCTGCGAGGGTTTTCTCGATAGATAAACAGCTCTTGTTATGATATAGCGATAACCGTCACGGTCCTTTACCTGAGAGCATGTATATGAACATAAAGTATCCGATGGAAATATGTGATACGGACCGCATCTGCGAATGAGTAAAGACGGGGACAACTGCCCTCAAAATCGAGGGATTCGGTATCTTGGAGAGTCGACGTAACGATCTCTGAGGCAGAATGCAGTTCCCGAAGACTACCTTTATTTGCTTTGACTACAAGAAATAGTTGTTAATATTGAAGATAGGAAGAATGAGGTGCCACGTACAAGGCCAAAAGTGGTACTGAACCCAAGTATTGGCCAGTGCTATCAGCTGCCCAAAACTATTATCCTGACCGGCAGTAGTCATTGCACATGCGACATAACGACGGGGTGTGCTGTTGTTGTCACCATTGTTTCCAGTGGCGTGAGCGAGCATCGTCTCTAAGATGGCATCTATGCGGATATCTTTATCACCGGTAGAGGGTCTGTTGAGATTGCGATTTACATTTCCAGAGATAAAGGCACTACAGAGGCTTGAAATATCTTGCTCTGTTCGAACAGTGAACGTGAGTGTCCGTGTGTTGCTCTCCACTTTTTCAAAGACGGAATTGCTGAAGCTGTCGGAAAGAGCTGACAGAGTGCTGGCATTGGATTCATGTGCATGGGACATTGCACGGTCGTGAGTGTCGTTTCACTAGCAGTTATCCCACTTCCAAGTAAAATCGAGATTTGAAACCCGACCGGCGCACTTAGACTAGAACTCCTGGCCTCCAATAATTTCAGGCTGAAGGAAATGGGTCGGAAAGTATTTGTCGAGCTGAAAAGGGTTCCTCAGATTCATTTCTATCTAGCTAAAATCAGTTTTCGGCAGGGAGAATTCTGTTTCCGAGCAGACGGAAACCCTATGTGGGATCTTTTTTAGTGCCACTATATTAAGTTTACTTCGCAGAAACTTAGGCATGACAGAAGTGTCTGAATCTCAGTCACTGTTCGGAACGTGTTCCGCACAGGTCGGTTCCAGAGCCTTGTTATTCACCTTCTGATTAACTCGAAACCACTCGTTGGCGGCCGGATTCTTTCTGTGCTTGGACGCTATATATTCCATCAGTTTATATACTTATTGGTTCTGAATCATCTACTTGCGGAAGTTTCTTCAGACTTCTGCCATCTTCAAAATATTTTGACGTTGTTCGTTCTATCCAAAGCTTGTCTTGAAAGTATATCTCGTTTTCCAGAGTATTGTCCCCCATCTGATTGATTCTGAAACCAAACGTAGCTGTGGGGTGATAGGGCTGTTAAACCGTGATCCAAGCTCGAGCCCTCAACGTCAACGTCGACTCCTCTCTTCCAATTTCCAGGATATCGTCTAGTTGTGCTATATGTCGACGTTAGGCGATGACAGATGAACCGTCTGGTCTGCTTTCGATAGCAAGAGAAAAGAAACATACGTTCAGGCCTCAGGCCCAGGCTTTACGACATAATCGCCCGAGGTAAGCTTTCCACAGTCACGTCTATCTGACATCTTTTTCAGTGCCGTCTCCCGAGCGAGATTTCCTGGACGCTCGCAGATTGATTCTGGCTGTGAGGCCATATCCGACTCTGTGTTGGGTTCGGAGTTTGAAATATATCTTGCTCTCGCTCCACGACGGACCACTACCATGACATACGCATACCTTCACATTGAATCTGTTATTCCTTGTTATACTGTAGGATGTTCCTGCAGTGGCTGGCGTTGTTACCCCTCGTTGTGTAACGTCAAGCTCTAGAATTATTGACATTGGTACGTCTTGCATCCGGCTTCGTTTGCTTTTCTTTCTGGAAATAGAAATGAAGATGCTGATATTTCTGATTCAGGCATGCTCCGTCTGGTGTGCGGTGGCCAATTCACTAGCAGCACATGTACGAGCAGTACCCGCTTTGCCCGATACCCATCCTGGACCTGGTCATATGCCTTCCCTTCCAGTTCTACTTGATCAGAATCCAATTGTCAAAATCGCGCGCAACGTCTACAGGATCAGAGTATGGCATCGCTTCTAGGATGCAAGGACTGGGTTTACCTAGTATGCTCTATGTGCCCGATCCCAACCGTCTGCTTACGTTCTGCAGCGCTAGAAGGTCCTGAAATGCAGGCCCCAACAATCGAGAGCAAAGTTGCGAATCGACGTACCTCTTTCACACGTATGTAAACCTTCTATTCTAAGTGAGGATGATACATATCGACCGAAAATGGAGAATCGGGCTATCGCCTGCGATGTTCCTCTTTTCACAATCCTAGTTATGCTGATTCTCGTTCATCTTCGATTTGATTTCTTGATGCTGATGGACATCTGTGTAGGTGTGGTATGCGCCGGCGCGTAACTAGTGTTGTCTGACCTGTCAGCATCTCTTCTGAAATGACTCTATACTACACCCTCATCTAGTGTCGAGATGGAGGTGTATGACGCAGGTGGATCTTCTCTTTTTGCCTAGACGACGTAAGATACTGACTGAAAGCGTAGATGTTGCACTAGATGAAGCTTGTGCAGAAAATGTTCCTGTCTGCGTACCGTTGTCTCAAAACCGCCACCGCTTCAATGCCGATCCACATCTTCGCCTTATTTTCTCTATATTTGGCGGCATCACTACGTGTCAATGGTATTCAACTAACCGGTATACCCATCACCAGCTCACAAACAGTCTGGACCTTGGTTCCGTAATATCCCGTCCGTCATCGCCATCCATCCGGCATACCGCACACTCATAGGCAAGAGACCCTCATGTCACGGGCCCACACTGGTCCCAGCCCCGTCTAGAAAGCAAGAACAGCGGAAAAAGATTAATACGCTTACGCCACATACGCGTTCGAGGCCCGAAGTCCTTTCTTTTGGGCGTCCATGATACTCTTTCTGTGCACCATGCGTTCGCCCCTGCGGTCTCTGAGCGTCCCGTCTTTCTTGAAGGCCTCGTAAATAGCAGCCTGTTGATATGGATATGTCACTGACCCCATCTTTTTCTCTCTCAACCTCGCGTCTCCTCCATCCTGTAAATTCGAGTACTGTCATTGTTATTGTGGGTGTATTTGCACTAACACGATAGTCCTGTTACTAACGGGAAATGATTTAAAGCATGGCGGACCAACAACTCATACAGATTCTTCGTAGTACCGGTTTCCTACCAGACTCCGACAGGTCATGGATCCAGGAAGCCATAATAACAGCAGAACAAGAAATAACTCTTCTCAACGCCCAAATAGCTCAACTCGAAACCAAACGAGACGCTCTTACTCAGCACGCATCAGTATGCCGCTCGGCACTTTCTCCAATCCGTCGTCTACCGCGCGATATGCTTCAGGAGATATTTTCTTGGACATGTGGTCTCGGAGTGGACCGGGAATGGCGTGCACCTTGGCTATTGGGCCAGGTATGTGGCTCGTGGCGCGATGTCATGATGACCTCCCCATTTTTATGGTCTACTATAGCCACCCCGCTCCCCGGTATTCATCCATCCCTATTAGTTGAGGCCCTCCGACGCTCGGGGAGTCACCCGCTGAGCGTGATGTTGATGTTCAAATGCGCTCTTTCAAAGGACAAGTTATTGGATATCTTCTTCCAACACTCTGGCCGATGGAGGGTGATGAAGATCGATGCGGCTGGGTTGCCAGGCCATGATATCGACGTGCTTTTGCAGCGATTATCTGTCGTCTCTGGGAAACTGCCCTTACTGGAGGAAGTATACTTGGATGTGGGCGCTAAATGCCTTCTACATTCTACCGGTACATTTGCGGTAGCTCCTTCTCTCCGGAGAGTGGACCTCCGTCGTTTCGTGCTCTTCCAAACACCGATAGACGAGCGACACCTCACACATCTTTCGGCGACCATAACTCATATCTCAGACATTGAGCACATCATGTCTTTTCCTTCCCTCGTCGAATGCCATCTTTCCGTGCACAAACCTATATTCCAGTCGTCCTCTCCAATCCGTTTCATGAGTGAGCGAATCATCCGGTTCTCCACCAACAGTACCCAAATATTGGACACTCTCACTCTTCCGATGTTGCAGGAGTTGAAGATTGTGGGATGCAGGGCCGAGTGCGGCCTGCTAACAGCGTTCCTGCTTAGGTCGGCGTGTAAGCTGCGAAGCCTCATTACCGATACCTCGTCTGGCCTCCGCCTAGACGATTTATCCTCGGTGGAGAAACTGACGGTTCACGTCAACCGGGAGAACATTGTGTTTTCTCTTTTCCATCAGCTTATGTGCCCTAGAGTCCTCCCCGAGATGCGCGAGCTAGTGATAAGCATTCCACCAAACTTTGTGATGTATGCGAAGACGCTAGCGGACGTCCTGAGGAAGCGCATGGAAAGGCAGACGGTTTCGTTGAAGCTGTTATGCACAGATTCTGATAATCGGATCATTAAGCAGTTAAAGCAGTGTGGGTTAGACTTGCTGGAGAGCGAAGGGCTTCGTGTGGATGTTGAGTATAGTTCCTTGGAATGTCGGCTCGATTCTCCTTGGCTTTGAAGTTGGTGTCGATACGATGGTCAGTACGGGATGCTGTATTGCTGTGTTCCTAGCTGTGAATGTATTGCGCTTTGTTAGAAATAAAGAAGCGGGAGGGGATAAGATGTATGGTATTGGTACCCAGCGGGTCATGCATGATCTGATCAGGCCGTGCACGGAAATTGTCTCATACCTGCCCTGAAAAAAGTTCGAAATGTTGATTCATATGATGCCGATGAAGTACACTACATAGGCAGATCATTATAAAGGGGGAATATCGCGCTGTAGTCATGATCCACCGATCGTCTAATCAGAAATACGATTGACCGTTCACCCATTAGGACAATAACTGGGCCAGAGAAAGGAGCGTTCGAACATCCAGCTCTGAAAAAAGGGGCATCGTCTCCTTCCTTCTGAAGTAAGGCATTCAGAACCTCGCTTGTCACTCTTCCATACGTGCAAAGCCACAGCCGCGGAGCGGCTGAGTCGCTTGACAGTTGCCTCATCTCAACCAACCACTTCCGCCCCAGCCTGACACGCGATGATGATCTCTTCGAGAGGTCAAATTTTGTCCGTAAAAAAATTCCACCAGCATTTGTACTAGGAAAGGCACACAGACGAGGGTACGAAGCAGACTCAGAAGCGCGAGTGCCTCTGCTAGTCTTAACAGAATACTATGGGCGCAACGGGGGGGCAACGCGCCAGGGTTACTCGAAGAGGGGATTGTATGGTGGAACAACCCTTCTGGATGATTTCCATAAAGCTGTTCTGTACGACAGGCGCGCGTACCGACAAATCTGGGAGGGTTCAGGCTATATACACTGACGTCGTCAATGTTCGTGGGTACTTGCAAGGGAAGCTTCATCAACGTCAGAATCCAATTCGGACTTGGTATCGTCCAAAGGCACCCCCATGAATACTCGGCAGCTTCCTTGGAAAGGGAGAGACCGCACCATTTGGGCACCACAGTTGAACGATGAGTTGGCCCCCAAGGCTCAGGAGGTCGTCCTGTTTGAGCCATCTGAAACCAATGTGATATCCCTTCGTCGAGTTTTCCTTCAGGATCATATGTGCTCGTCTGAGCCCGTCGCTGGAACCATGCAGAAGGTGTGCAAAGAAATTGTCGGTGAGAGCCATATTCAGCTTGTATCTCGATGGGGCCATAATAAAGCTCTAGACCTAATATGCCACCCCACAGTCGAAGAGGAGAGGCCACGGGCGAAAGAATGAAAGTAATTTCCAAGGATGTTCCCACGCCACAGACGCGTCTGGTGAAAGAAATCAAGCTAAGAAATGTCAATATGTTGACTCCGTTGAGAACGAAGGCGGAAACGGATAAATATATACTGAGGCCTGAGGATCCAGTGCTCATACTCTCGTGAACCGAGCCGGCACCGCACCGAGCAAAGCGCAAAGTCGTATAACTTGCCCAAAATCGCCCACGGAAAACATGACTGCTTCGGCTAGTTCCTTCCGTACCCTAGGTCCTTGACAAAGCCCCCAGTTTTAATGAGCGTCTGTGTTGCTATGTACAAATCTCGAAGCACCAATGCGAACGACTGTTTTGTCCCACTTGTGCGTACTTGTACCACTATTCCTCAGTCTGCACCACTTAGAGTCAATCCCTTGAATAATGCCAGGATGACCATCTGGTTTCAGGTTCGATGCCATCGGGGCAGGAATAACCTCGGCGTAGGGCAGCGGTTTATCGTGTCCCGGGGCGAATGTCCTTAAGCGAGATCCGTGAGAAATGTCAAAGAAAGGGTCGTGCAAGCTTGGGAATACGTGAAAACATTAAGAGCAGCGGCATGACATAGTGATTAGGCAAGCGTACATTATTCCGAGCTTTATAATGCATAGCTGGCAAAACAACACGTCCGATTAAACAACTGAGAGCTTCGCCGACGAGTCCCTATCCCGCCTGTGAAGGGGGTATTCACCCGAGTCCGTCTCAACGAGATGGCTAACGTTGACTGCAACTGGAGCTCGACGACTTACAGATAATCGTTGAGGGTGATCTGGTACGGTTTGCGAGAAATTCGTCAGGTCGCGTGAGCTGAGGCCTAGACTAACGCGAAGGATGATAGCCGTGAAGGTGATGCCGATTAACGGGGAAGTCTGGATCAGGGTAAGAGGTATTATTAGGCGAATATGAGAGGGCTCACTAGGTCAAGGACAGTGTACTGAGCATTAGAATTGAGGGTATATGTGATCATTAAAGAGATCACGGAAGCTGAATATACGGCGGCAGACTCGAGGATCATCATAAGAGCAGAACGAGCTACATTTACTTGAACGAGGCCTCGGACAGCTCGTTGAATGCTAAGGATTTGATAGGCGATGAGAGCTATGATTATGTGGTAAATTTGTCAAATTGATAGCGAAGGAGCAATCTTCCAACTTACAAGTACAAATGACATTCGTGCATAAAGTCATCGAGATAAAACTCGTGATCCAAGGAACGATAGCGGGTAGAAACACTTCGGCCCCAGGTTCTGCGCGAGAGAATGCGACGGTAGCACCAAATCCACTCACTGAAACAAAGATATACAATTAAAACATACGAGTCCCGAACTAAGGATACTCACCGCCTGTTCCACATAGCATTAAGAGGGGCCCGGGAATGATATACCATCTGCGATTCCATACAATGTAGCAGCGATAGATCTCATAAAATTTTAATATGAACGTGAGAATAGGTGCAAATCAAATCTACCCACGACAAATCCATCCCCAACAAGGGTTAAAATGACGTAGATTGCTGTTTTGGCTGCTTGCAACGGATTCGAAAGATTCGAATAGTACTCTAGTGCGGTGCCATCCTTGAGCTCTACAAATGCCTCTACAGCACGGACTATGTCCAATATCAGATGCTGAAAAAGGAAAAACAATTAATGAGCAGACGAGAAAATCACGGTGGACTAACAACTGTTGCTAATATCCAAATAGCGACCACAGTCGACAGCAGTTTCACGTTGATTCCTGTTCTCTTCTGGAAGATGACCCAAAGCGCGGCAAGAAATAATACGGTAAAGGAGCCTCATATCGATTTTGTCAGGTGGACCAGTAGTAACCTGCGCAAAGGACGAATACCGTATAGCAGTGCCTCAAGCACTAAAGCCAAAAACTAGAAACCAGAATAAGTTGGCAGTGAGCTAATAAAGCAGAAATATGGCTGACATTAGCTTTCTCCAGCGAGATAGAAGCCATAGAAAACGCTGATGCACGACGCGGTCGAAATGGCAAAGCAAACTTTTGAAATGATGAAGGCCAGTGTCTTTGACGAAGTAGGTATAAGGGCCGAGAATGATATTCATGACATCTCGGTGTAGTGCTGTCATGTTTGGTCCCATCTACTAGGCCTGAGTGGTTCAAGGTTCAAGTTTACCGCGGTTCAGTGATCGAATAAGTCGGCATTTACCGTTGTCCATGTGGCATAGTTGGTACTTTTCCCCCTTCAGAAACAAAAGACGGATATTCAATGTAAATAATTACCTAGAGTACGGGTTCTACCGTCTACCCTGAGTATGTGTCGTTTCCAAGGTCCGCCGCGGGTCCTTTTTTTGTCTATCCTTGCCGCGTCTCCATCCGGATTTGGTCTGATCCCAATTAACACACATCCATGTTCTACATTGTCAGACGACTGGCTCTCTCAATGAATGACCATATCATTTCGACCGCGACGCCCTCCAAAAGAGGGGGTCGGTAAATAAGCATGCCGATTTTTCTTGGGATTTTCTTTGATTCAACTTTGATGCAACTTCTAATTTGTAGACGGTAAATAATACAGTACGGCACCATCGGGAAGGAATCTCGGAGATGTCAAAGAGGTAAAATTTGATAACTCTTCGTCATTTGAATCTCGGAGTGGGAGCATCATTCGATGGCGTAACATTTCGTGCTCTCGGCACCTTACCGCAGAAATACCGCTCCGTTCTGCCCTGCGGCCTTCAACTCACCCTATGTACCAGATAGCTCCAATATCATTAAAGTCTAATATAGTCCATGTCTATCAAATGATTGAAGGTGTATTACACAGTGGTGTCATTATCCTGTCGTTGCTTTTCTGGCTCTGCAGAGTTCCTCGCTGTCCTATCGCCATCGTCGTTTCGTTCAGCCTTTTGACGTCTTCGTTCTTCGACCACGCTCTTCCGGGGCTCAAGACCTCCCTGGTATCCAAACCAAACACGACGATCGCAATGAGGCCCTCTTAGCAGCAGCATGAATAGTTGCCATCCTGACCAACCCAACGACAAACCCGCACCAGCTCGCCATCCATACTTGATGAACACTTTCGATCCTGCGGAGGTTCCCATGGCTTGCCCGGTGAAGAGCTGCCTCCAATGATGAACATAACGATAAACAGCTTGATGTACGAAGACTCACAGACATAATGAACACAGCGTTGAGGCGTGCTCTGGCTTCGGGGGCAATACTGGTATGATGCCTCAGAAGGATACTGCAAGTCGCAAGACGATGAACCCACCTGAATATCGACGTAACCAACGAAACCTGTAGCATTTGCCTGAATACGTCCAGCCCAAAGGTCGCAATGATGACGGCTGCAATATTGATGCCCCCCGCCCCGACTTGTATTGCTTGGAATAACGCCATGCCAATGATCGCAATAAGCGATGCATACCAGGGAATGAGTGTATCAATAGTCCGACCGACTAACGGCCCCATCGCTACACCAAACATCCCCACAAGACCGAATAATCCGATAACCAAGCTGTCACACGACATCAGTACCAAGTCAAGGGTAGAACAGAAGGGCCGAACGTTGTATAATTGTAAGGTGGTCCACCAAGCAGAAAAGTGAGAGTAACCCAAAAGTTGCTGAAAGATGCGCTGCTGGCTATGTTAGTCAAACATGCCTGTATGAGAATGGGTTCTGTGAAGGCAAACTTCGCCATCGTCCACAAGATTTTCCAGTAGGTCAGGTCCTTGTTCTTTGCCGGATAGTCAGGGAGGACAAGATAGCTCCCTCCGAGAACAAAGAATTGGACACCTATTGACATGTAATAGACGACTCTCCAGCTTGTGAATTGAGCTATTACACCGGATAGAACTCTTGCGATGAGGACTCCCAGAAGGAGCCCAGACATAACGACCGAGAGAGCAGACGCGCGACGCTCGAGCGGCGCTAAATCAGCGGCGAGAGGAAGGAGGATTTGAGGAGTAACTGTGACAACGCCAACAAAGAAAGAGAAAACTTCAAAAACGACGAGGCTATTGGTAATAGCGAGAGGGATGGTGAGAGAGGCGGACAGTGTTACGAGGATCAGGATTAGTCCGCGCCTCCGGACGAGGTCACCAAGAGGTGAAAGCAGAAGAAGGCCAGTCGCATAACTACGGGCCGATGGTTAACATCATATAGACGGTTCCTACTACACGGAAAATACTGCGTACCCTGCTTGTACCAAAGTTGGAATTCTAAAAGTCACTTCGTTAGTATATGGAATTGTGACTAGAACAAAAAAGAATTCTCACGTTGAGACTTTGTCGTAAGTAACATTGAAAGATTTCGACATCTCGACTGATGTATCGGCCAGAGATCAGTTTGCCTTCTGAGAATAACTTTTGAAAAGAAACGACTAACTTAGCAATGGTTGGCAGTAATACAAGTTCGCAACCACTGCAGTCACAGTCAAAATCAACCGTAAACTTCTTGAAACCGAATTGCTCACCAAATGTGCTGGCAAAGCCAAAGGAAATATTGAGCAAAAGCCCAAAGTGGAAAGGCTTTTCCGGGTCATATCGCAGACGATGAGGAATAGGCAAGAAGCCAAAGTCCTTGGTAAATCGAGGCATCTCGTCAGTACTGTCTTCAACGCGCTCGGGCTTCATTGTCACGACGAGGAATGGACCATGAGAAGGAAGTATGTTTTCTGGGAGGCTTTATAATATGGTGGCACCAAGGCGGCCGGGTCCGAAAATAGCCTTCTTTGATGACTTCCGTAGAAAAGACTCGGAACACCGAAGACTGACTCGAATCAGTGCCTCCAGAGAATGGGCCGAAGCGTTGAAAAGATGAACTTCCCATACGTAACGGAGAGTTACAGAATCATATTTACAACATACTTATATGTATGTAGCTATTTATATTTATGTAGCTGCAAGTTTGAATGAGGCCAAAATGAGGTTGCAACGAGGCTGATTTCGGATTTTCGGCCGAACAACGAGGCTGATTTATCGTCTTCTGGACGAGGAAAGATATTTATTCTATGCTCTATGAAGTCTACTAGTAGTCTATGATTGGACGTCAGGCGAAACGTGATCGAGTCACGAATACACGGATCCGACAGTAAAGGTTTATTGATGGAAAAAAGGATTACTAATGGATAGCATCGTTAAGCGTACAGACGTTGTAAATATAGCGCATTGACTCACTCAGTGTACTGAGATGAATAACCCTGGTGGCCTTGATTAGCTCTCGCTGCATATCCTTCGCTACTCGAATAATTGGTTGGAGTGCTAGCGCTCGGTCCTTGCTGCTCAGATCTCACCCTTACATTTGGATATAAAAACGCTTGTTGGGAGCGTGAGGATCCCGCAGAATCTCGGGAGCCTTGCCTAGATCGTCGCGAGGAGGACTGCGACGCGTCCGGCGAGACAAGCTCCGCTATGACATCCCTACAATTCGCGGATAGTAAAACAGGATCATATTCCTCGTGCGACAGTGCTCACCAGAACGCTCCGGCCATAGGTAGTCTAAAAACAGGAGCGTGAACAGGCATGCAATCTGAGAAGGAACCAGACCTCACCGGTTTTCTACTCCCTTCAGCATATCCAAGCAAGCAACAACGCGCTGCATTTCTCTGGTCTTGTATGGATCTTCCGTGCCATTCCACAGGATAAGTAACAGAGTTAGTATCGTTGAGTTGACACAAGACTGAAACCCGCCTTAGCATCTGATTTTCCAAGGTGTAGAGGTAACATACCACTACATGCATTAACTGAAGGTATCCCCTACGTCTTTGCGCCTCCACAATATCAAGAGTAGCCAATGCCGCATCCCTGCAAGTGGCGATCGACTGTGGAGTCGGGAGATAAGGTCTGTGGACCAGTATTCTGGTGTAGTGATACGTGATATGCAAAAAGGCCGATTGATTGAAGAATAGACCGTCTTGGCTGTTAGGGTTCCACCGCACTTCGAACATGATTCAGCAATGGATAAAAATGAAATGAGGAAAAATTTACGATGTTCCGGTACGGATTGTAACCACTGGTTCAAAAATGAATCCAAACCTGATAATAATTCTGCCTCTGGCGGACGCCGCTGCCCTCCCATGAGAATCATCGGGTTGCGGGTGTGGTACTGAAGCAAGGAGGTGTAACATTATTGGGTGCATCAAGCCATTACTATGGGAAACTCACAATACTTTTCTTCACGTAGGTCATAGTGTTCACTAGTTTCAGAAGACAAGCAAAAAACGACAGCGCAGAGGGCCTGCCAGTCGGTTGTCGAAATCGCCTGGAGGAATCTGGATGATTCCAGTAGATATCATCGCACTCCAGAGGAAAGCCAACGTCAAAGCTGATATATGTCAATGTATGCAATCATATAACACTCAACAACTCACTCTTCATAGCGAAGCGTCACAGGCCGGCCATGATGACAGGCTTGAGACACGTCCAGAAAGATCAACACCCTGCATCGCGATTAGTTCAACAGGCCAAGAAGGGCATGTCTGTGGACTACCAAAAGGCGCGCTTCCACGCTTCGTCGCGGGCATTAGGAGGTCGATTCTGGTGAACATGTACCCCAACCTGTTGAGCCATCCGTATCGCAAGACCAATTTGAGTCGATACTGTTTCCCAAAGTCCAACTGCCCCAAGATATGAGACCGACAGCTACGCAAAGAAGTCAGACTTTGCCAACATAGAATTTAAAAAAGAGAAGCAACATACACAATGAATTTGCAGCTCATAAAGAGTTGTAGAGGTGCGGTCTTGCAAGGCTGTTTGAAACAATGTAAGCTGTTCAAACCATCTCCAGCCAGCCTCGTTTCCTCCTGGCTGAGTGGAAAATACTCTTGGATCATTCGAGTGTCGCGCACCGAGGGCGCATACGAGAAGCAAAGTCCCGGCGTAAAGGTGATCGGTCCAGTGCTCTCCGTCCGCCATGGCCTTCTCGAAAGTGGGGCGATGTAGCAGCGGAAGGTAGCAGTTATAATGAGTAAAATACAGATTCACAAGAGTCAGCATCAGATCAGGATCGGGGAAGACGTATACTGGCACAGTGTCGTTCACCCGCATGGGATATTTCTGGCAAATATTGACGAAGGTTCACGCGAGGTACAAAAAAAACTAATCCACGTACAGACTGGCGGTTCCAGAACTGTTCTCGCCGTCGAGTGAGGAGTGCCTGTTCATTCGAGGTGATTCTTTCCCTCCCGAAATATTGTTGTCTTCGCTGGATTATGGAGGGCAGCAGATGTAACCCCTACAACAAAATCAATGATTCGACTAAGTGGCCAATTGTCGAACATACACTGTATATAATATAGTAAGTGGCGGCACCAATATCGTCGGGAGATATCACACGCACCATGACATTCCAAAAAATGACGTATCAGGTTGAATGGAAAGCATCCTGTTGACATTCTCGCTAAGACGAGCGACGTCTTGATCTTGGTCGCCTCTCCTAATCTGCGAGGCGGATGAGCCTTCTTCGGTCTCTTCCTTGAGCTCTGCGTCCAAGTCGAAACCCGGGGCTCTCTAATTAGCAAACTCCGTGAGTAAATATTTAAGAAGGTAAGGAGTGATCTAACACGTTTGAAAATCTCTTCCATTTTGTCGAGTCGTCCTTCCATCGTCTGCACATATCTAAATAGACTCTTTTAACTAAGCTCAAGAACGATTAAAAGGGACGGGGTACCCTTTAGCGCTCCCCAGGCTCTAAGAAAAGTGAGCCATGAAGAATGACTTTATCACACGGACACTCACATTCATGGCCTCTACATGAGTACACTGGAGGTTAAAAGTGACACAGTTTGTGCAACGTTTTCCAGGCATTTGGTCGCTATCGCCTGTGCATCATAAATCAAACACACGCTCGGAGATACGAGAAACCTCGACTTACATCGAACTAAGGGCTTAAAGTCAGCAAATGTCGAAATTCCAGAGCAGGAAAACCATACTTTTCTTTTTCTTGCACATATCGCACGCACGAGGCAAACGACGCTTCTTGTCTTCGGTTTGAGGGGCCATGTCGGTGTTGAACTGTAACATTTGATTAGGTTGTCCAGCCATTTATACGGTCGATGGCCACCTGAAAGCTTCATAAGCATGATACTAAACCAACCCCATCAGCGCGCGCGCTGAAATGAGTTGAGTAGTGGGACGCTCGTCGGCAGTGAGAGTCTGAAGATTAACGGGACACATGTGTGAAGTCGTCGTAACAGGCTATGAAGATTCATCCGATCAGTGCTCACTGAACCGCGAATAGACATACGCCTAGTAGATCCTAGCACGCGAATCAAACCAAGTACGGTTCCATTCTCTCTTATTCAACCCTGATTAATAAAAAAAATTATTGTCAGTAATAACTGGCATTGGGATTTCACAGACTGATACGCCTTGCTTCTGGCACCGCTAAATGCGACAAATGTTCTCCGGACATGGAGCCCTCAGCAACGGTGAGGAGGTTATGTTTTGTCCTGGCCTCATCAAGTATCAGTGATGCGCTTTTGTTCAGTTGTTAGAAAACCCTTATCGCGCTGCCTAACAGATGTGTCCATATAAGTTCAGCATTTATCACATCAAAACGGACAACTGCGACGGGCCTTGTAGATTATAATCCGATGACAAATCGTGCGGCGGCGGCTCGAAGCACTGAATATAGGCACCGTTATTGGACATGTATCAAGAAAACAAAGTTGCTTGGTCCAAGTATAAACCAAATCGTGCGCCCGTTCATTTCGGGAAAGTAATACTTGCCATAGCGCGGATCAGGGCACTCGCATAAAGAAGAGGACATCGATAGACGCTGCCTATACAGGATTATCGCTTCTGGTAGCAGTGAACGCAGATAATGAACAACGTGTTTCAGCAAGTATTTCATGTTTTGTCCATCTGGCAATACGCAGAGTCACAGGGGGGATAGACAGAGTTTGACCTAGCCAGTGGTAACAGTCCCCTACACGTTCCGAAAAAAACAGCCGATAGGAAGGCACACAGGCCGTCCGAATCCTTGATTGTATGCTTGTTGCTTGGTAACCTCATTATCGTATACCGATAGTTTACACTCGCTGAACTATCGGATGTGAAGAAGTTTAGTTTCATAGTTGATCGCTATTTGTTTGAGAACTAAGGGGCAGTACAACTGTGGGCAAACGAGTTACCCGCTTGTCACCAAGAAGAGTTATGGCGTTGCCAACGTCTCGCATGCGATCAGATCCTGCCGCATATTATCAAAAGTCCTTGAATTAAGGCAGGGCATGACGGAACGTTACAGGCAAAAAAGCGACAGTCACTTCGACAGCTCACTTCAAGAGCTCCTCGACTACCCTATCCTCCGATATTTGCGTAACATTCTTGCCACGATAATTTAGTCTTCTCAAAACGTCAATCTATACCAACATCAGTTATCAAAACATCAGCCGAGAGTTGAAACACGTACCACTTTTCCCCGCTGGAAACCCAGAGCCTCAAATTGGTCTACATGGGCTTTCTCTAAGCCGGCCATGGCCACCTCATCCTTTCCATCTCCACTTGACGCGGTAGATACGCCTTTCTTCCCGGGTCCCCCGGCATATATCTGCGTCCAATATGTAGCTGTGTCCTCAAAGCTTCCCTTGCTGGTCGTAAAGTGTTTAGCCACCTCCGCATCCTGCGGGTCATTGGGCTCCGGGCTGCAGAGCAAACTCTGCAAGGAAATCAACGTGGATTTAAGCGTCAAAACCGGCGACCACGCGTCTTTCAAGATGTCAAGACATATGGCGCCTGATGCGGAGGAAACATTCGGGTGGTAAACTTTCGTTATGAACTTCATCTTCACCGGCTGAAAAGGATATGATTCGGGAATGATGATGTCGACAAGGAACGTGCCACCCGCGTAAGGCGTGCCCTCAGGGCCCGGAAAGATCCCTTTCAGATGAAATGGCGACTCGTCAATAAGTTCGATTTTAATGCCAGAAGCTTTATCGTTCTTGCAATCTAGGTCACCTTGTCGATGAGAACATCGATGCCATGGAATAGCAGTACGCACCAGCAATTTCTTTGTTCACACGTCGCAGACGGGCATCCATGATAGTAGCCGCGGTGTCGGTTACAAACAGAAAAGGTGAAAGTAGCAGTCAGAATACAAGAGGCTCTCGAGCTCGATGGTAAGCGCTTAATCAGTGTCAGAGATGAAGGAACGGCATTTTCCAGAATATCACGTGTATTGATCGTCCCGAATTCCAATGCCGACCGGCCGTCCCTCAGCTCAAGTTGCTGATTGGCTGCTTGAGTACGGTACTTTCTTCTATCATACACGACTATTAGTATAGCCTGGAGGATAAGCGGTCTGTGTAATATCTATCACAGCTAAATTAGTTTTGAGAGGTGAACAAGATACCGAACTACCTTGGAACAACCTAACAGTAGCACTGGTCCCACTGGCAGCAACGCGCAGAACGAGCTCAAGAAAAGTTACGCGCCAAGGGAATCTGTCATACACTGAGGGAGACTTGCGTGTCCCCTACCATCGTCCATCGGTGGTTAGCGGTTAAAACATACCGTTCACGCCGATTGAAGTTTCGAGGTCTGACTCAACCAGTGCATATACGAATCCGAATATTTTTTTTTGACTTAACATGACTTTGCAACTGCAGGAGCTACTAGCTCGCCAATTTCCGAACTTCAAATACGCGAGTAGTTCAAGAATAGCTCGTACATATGGATAATACAGCTGCGAGCTCACTGAAATTAAGAATCGGCGGACTCCACCGGAAAGTCATTAAGACCCTTTTTTATGTCTAGGTCTACTTGTCCTTTCGTAGATACCCTGGATTGCCTTCCATTTTATCAGCCTTACATTCAATGTTAGACCTGTTTCATCAATACAGAAGGTCCAGCTTTGCCTCACCGTTGTTCCGGTCACAGAAATCAGAACTATGGTTCGCCTCAGTCCAACGAAAGCGCGTCGCCCCAAAATGTTATCTTTACATCATTATTCAGGCGTGAGCGACAGAACAGGGTGAGCGGATTGTCAGTGCCCCCACGCTGCATGCTCATGGCGCCTTATCTTTTACCCTTGTATGGACATATCACAGCGGTGCTGGATCCGAAGAAGCGACCCTCTGTCAGAGTCAGAAACGACCGTCTTGTGAATTGTATTTTGCCAGTGGGAGGCTCCGTTTCAAGGAACAGCAACGTAAAAGCAAATGGATCCGAAATTCACCTTCTGACATGTCCTCGTAATATTCTTATCTCGTAGCATATTGTTGGATCCCACGTTGAAATCTCGTCTATCAAGTCAGGAGCGTCAATTTCCAAGGAATCGAACGCATGAGAGCATTAACCGTTGATACTTGTATTGAAATACCTTTGCTGAAGGCCTGCTCATTCCACCGACGGAACTCCGCTTTTTCTTATCTTGTCCTTCGGTAACGACTCAGTCGCGTCCTACGTGAGCCAAAACTTGAAGCAGAAGCATTATCTTAGCCTGAAATTTTTTCTAAATGAAAGTAGTGTCGAGCATAACTAACGGCGCTCGAAGAATATTACAGTCTGGTAACTACAAATTTCTCAACCCATTGTCTATCTTCCATTTTTCATACTTGGCAAGCATGGTCGGCGTTATCTGGCGTTTCATTGCTTTCGCAGCGGTAATGAACGCATCCTTAGGAATCTTCGTGAAATTTCAGAAGGGAAACATCGAGAATCAAACGATAATCAACATACCCAAGGTGCATCCATATTATCCTGCATAGTCAACAATGCGGCTTCTTGGCACAGGGCCGCGATTTCTGCACCCGAGCAACCGTCGGTCTGGTCCATCGATCGATCAGTATGAAGATCGAAATATTGTTCGTAAACGCGCACCATTGAAGCTATCTGATCTAGATCGAGAGTGCTCTCCACTCTCATACCGTTCATTCGTATCCGGAGGATTTCTTTTCTGCCGTCATAATCCGGCGGTCCCACATATAGAATTCGGTCGAGGCGGCCCGGACGCATCAACGCGGAATCGATGACATCTGGACGGTTGGTTGCAGCGATAATGGTCACTCCAAGCAATTCTTGAACACCATCCATTTCATTGAGAAGACTTGTAAGGACCCCTTCATGTGAAGAGCCTGCATTGTGTTCAGAAGAAGTACGGGAGGTCGCCAGAGCATCTATTTCATCCTGCGAACAACTAAGATAAGGCCGGCTACGAAAGGATTCGGCATGAACGTACGAAGAAAATAATGGAAGGCGACACGGCTCTAGCCTTCCTGAATATCTCACGCACGGCTCTTTCGGATTCGCCGACGAATTTATTGAGTAACTAAAAGATAAGGAATCAGAGATAGGATCATTTCATTAGCACATGGCATGTATACGTACTTCGGGACCCTTCACGGCAACGAAGTTGACACCGCTCTCACTGGCGCATGCTCTTGCCAATACTGTCTTGCTGCACCCAGGAGGCCCATACAGTAATACACCCTTGGGAGGTTTCACGCCAAGTCTCTGGAAGGCCTCAGGGTGTCGTAAGGGCCACTCAACTGACTGCTGTAGTTTTTTAATAACGAACGCCTGGCCACCGATATCGGCGTAGCGCACAGGCGGCGCTTCAACGAAGAGGGATCGCATAGCGGACGGCCGGATCGCTGGGAGGGAGCTGAGAAGGTCGGGAAAGGTTATAGCAAGGTCGTCCGAGCTTGGGTTATTTGAACCGGCAGAGGCAAGCCATCGCTTAATAGCAAGTGTGCCAGCTTCACGGATGACTGCACTCAAGTCGGCGCCAACATACCCGTGCGTCCTCGAGGCAAGGATTTGGAGGTCTTCTTGAGGGATAGAATGCGAGGCCTTCGATAAAAGTACTTCGAGGATCGAGAGGCGACCTTGAACATCTGGTACGCCTGGAACATAATTTCGAATCAGCCGGAAGGATGCCGAACACCTGGCTGGGTATTACCTATCTCTATCTCTCTGTCGAACCGTCCAGGGCGGCGTAGCGCTGGGTCAATTGCATTGGGGCGGTTGGTCGTTCCGATCACGACCACCCTTCCCGCGTTGGCCGAGTCGTCCATACCATCGAGAATAGTAAGCAGGGTGGCGACAACACGCTTCTCGACTTCCCCACCGGCAGAGTCCTCTCGTCGAGGGACGAGGGCGTCTACTTCATCGAGAATAACAATGCATGGGCTTTTCTCTTTTGCTTCTGTGAATACATCCCGTAGTTTTGATTCTGTCTCCCCATGATATGCAGAAGAGAGCTCGGGACCATTGATGACAAGCACGGAAGATTTTGTCGACGCAGCTATTGCACGCGCAAGATGAGTCTTCCCTGTTCCTGGGGGGCCATGAAGGAGAATGCCGCGAGGCGGTTTCAGACCTGTATTAGCGGTCAAGGGAAAAATCCGAGTTGATTAGAAAGAGGGTACATGCTAAGGTGACGGAACAGCTCCGGACGAGCCAATGGAATTTCCAAAAGATCGCGTATTTGGGAGATTTGCTGGTTGAGGCCACCCACGGAGGCGTACGGGGAACCAAGGTGTGACAAGTGCTCGACCTACGCACGAGCTTGTCATGAGAACTGTGAAACGGAGATATTGTGGTACCGTTCTCACTGTGGCGTTTACACGAGGTGGTGCAGGTGGTTCTTTTTGCACGATATGGACGGATGTTTCCCAAGTAGCTGTCCATAGCTTCACCGTCGCATCATTCAGCGTAAGATTCGAGAGCTCTTGCGGTAAATCACCATGACTAGAGACTGAAGAGACGGCAAATCGTCTTTTTCTCGCCTCATAAATGACCTCCACGACCTGCCTAGACGTTATATATTTGAGGTCAGCTGGATGAGCCACCGCAGGTGAGCGAGGTTCATTCGGGCCACGGAACGGAAACCTACTCAGCACTTCACGAACGAGCAGGGCGAGCCAATCCTTCTCCTTTTTACCCTGTGACTGGGACGTGGAATTGGAAGACGATTGATGGTTCTCAGTGAGAAGTTCATGTACCCAGATGGTAGATGCGTCTTGAGCTTGTCTGAGCGATGGTAAACCAGGTGGTAACTTTGATGGTGCTATTCCAGCCAATGGAATTATGCGAGCCCGCTGACCAGCCCCAAGACGGGCCGTCAGCAGAAGAGAAGACGACACGACGAGTGCTTGTCGGCTCGGGTCATTGAAATCGGTACGAAAAACATATGGGGCTCACATTCTTGTGACACGTCGGTACAGGGCCATACAATACCCACCGCAAAATCCTATTGGTAAGGAGATATCAAGTGACTGTCTAATACAGAGTGGGGCCAGGTCTGGGACTGACCTTGACAATGTCCAGAGTATCTCCGCTTGATAGGGCAACAGCATCTCCGGTACACAATTTGACAGCTTTCAGAACTTCAGGATGCAAGATAACGCGCCGAGCGGCATGATACGCGTAGTCCTGAGTATCCAAGAGTTCTATTTTGAAGGTTTTGGAAGCAATAGAGGTCATATTTCTCTGGGATGGGAATGCCTTGTAGAGAAGCCCCAATGTGGAAGAAATTTTTTCTTCGCGCTATGAAAGCCTCGGATCTAAGTAGTACTTACGCGTGGGCGCGACGCGTTCAGGACAACGGGTTCTGATCGCCCGATAAAGTTTGGGCCAACGGGGGTACTAGATCAAATGAAAAAAAAAATACACGCTGCGAAACGAAAGGAGCACAATATATTGACCACCGGAGATAGAGTCAAATTTATGCTTCACCTTTTAATAAAATTTCGAAACTGTTGTTGGCAAGAGAAAAATCAAGGATATTTACAAACTCCGACTGCACGCGATTGAAAGTCCGTCAGGTTAGGGTTGTGTCACACGCGGCGTGACATCGAACCACCACAACAGGCCCTCGGCCCTTGGAGATGCTCTGGAGATGCTGCCTAGTTCTCATTGGCGCTCTTTGTACGCCCGTACTGAGCAAGCACTTGTCGAACGAGGAATTTCGTGAGCAGGTCTCCCTCCAGACGCTGCAGGACGGCCGAGTCGCGTCAACGTTCTCATTCAATATCCTGCTGAAGGACGCGACGCCGAGAGAGCCCCGAACCCTAATCTTCGATGACGAGTGTATGCTGCAATATTGCTTCACCTTTCGTTGATCTCACTTGCCTTAGCCCAGCATTACAATCTGTTTCCCCTTGCTCTGGGCCAAATATTACGAGAATACGCGGTGACCGAGCTGCATCTCACTCTAAACGCAGGGAAGTGGAACTATGATTCATGGGGATACCCGAAAGAACGGGACGTTGGTACTGGTGCGGCGTTGTGGGCGTGGATGGCTGACGGTGGTCCTACGTCGTACGTGACGCCACTTTCCTGGCCGTTGATCTGTGCCCTGACTTGAAACAGAATAGATTACCGGTGGCAAGGCCTTCGAAATGCCCTTGCGGGACTTTTCTGTGCTTCTATAGGGTCATTGGACGAGCAACGTACGACCTCGCCTGTCCTTCCATTTGCACCCGAAGGCAGTCTTCCTGACTGGGGAGTCGAGCACGAACTCAGACATGCTTCTCTGGCTTCCGAACACGTCTGCACCGAAAACTTGACACCATTTTTGAAATTATTGCCATGCAAATCGTTGTCTGGTATCGCGTCTTTATTGAATCCCCACCGTCTGTTTGATGCAGACTGGCATGGAATGGGCCTTCATGTTCTTTGGAATCCCGATGCGGGTGTAGAAGTGCGCCTCGCATTTCAGTTGGTTTCCGATCCACTCCGCATATCAGCTGGTAAAAAACAAGGTTTTTAAGTTTTGGTGTTTGGGGCGTATTTGCTTGTGCTGACGGTTATATCGTTAGACTGGTCTTTTAGTACCTTGTTTGATCGTACTATCGAGAGAACCTGTCCAGTTGCCCAGTCAAGTATAGTGGATGTGGCTTTACCCAGGGAAGCCCTATACAACATTAGCCCCGAACCGCCACGGATTGACCAGAACGTGGCGTTCTATGACCTAACTAACAGTGAGTTCGTACCTTATCTGTCGGGCGCATTTTGTGACTGCGGCAAACAGTGTCAGAAGCTCTCGACGTGAAATTAAAATGGGCACTGGATTTCACATATCGTCAGTAGTATTCTCGTCGCATGTATGCCGGCAGGCATTGATTTCGATGCAGCGTTGGATCCTCTCAAGATTACTTCCATGCCTATCTCCGTCCGCCGTACGCTTCAAGGAGCTAGTCAGGATCGGGGACAACTCTCTTTGGTCATCAAGAATAACGCACCATTTCCCTTGCAAGTCCTCTATCTGGAGACTATGCCTTGGATTGTTCAGTTTTATCTGCATACCATGCGTGTTTCCAGCGATACTAGTGGTATGCGCACCTATCATTTACGTTGCTTTAACTGACGCGCGTTTAGGGGATGATTTCATATCCAACATATCGTATGTACCTTCGGTGCCTCATTCAAGACCCGCAACATTCCAAGCAGTATTGACGTTACCGACTGAGAGCACTGTTTATCTAACCATTGACGTCACCAAGGCCTTTCTACGATACACAGAGCACCCTCCTGATGCTCAACGCGGCTGGGACCTACCTCCAGCCATCATTTTACCACTTTCGAGCTCGAACGCCATCAGAAGCGAATTCGTTGGCCGCATATACACCCCGCCACTACTGGTCGATCTCGCGACCCCAGATTTTAGCATGCCTTACAACGTTATAGTCTTTAGCTGCTCGCTTATTGCGTTCATATTTGGTAACATATTCAACCTTCTGACTCGAAAATTTGTTGTTGTACGCCTAGGTTCTCAGCAGGGAACATCAAAATCAAAACATGATTGATCCTTGTCAGGACGTAAGGCGCCTCGTTTCGAAGACGATGCGACGTCATTGTGCCCTGATTGCTCTTTCTGATAAGTAAGTCACAAAAGATAAAGGCTGGAGTGATTTCTTTGTTCGACCATGCCGAACGACCCGGGCCTGACAAACCACAATTTTTCTTGTCAGTCCAGGGAGTTGTATGTATAGGTGCGTAGTTATCTAGGCGCCCTGACAGCTGGAAGGCCGGGCGGTGAAAGGCTTATTGGAAGCTTAGATAGTTGTCGTCGGCCGCGGCGTTATCTTACTAACACTGTTGTTAGTAAGCATTTGCATACTTAACTTTAAGCATCAGACTTGTACTTGCAGGTAATTTCCCAAGAGTTCTCGAGCTCAGGCACCCGGTACATGATGGCTTGCCATGCCCTTACCCAAGACGCTCACGCCAGATGTTCATGGGTCTTAGACCCACATGGGTCAGTTCCAAGGGGACAAAACGGTGCCGCAGCAACATGTCTTGTTCATGAGACGCACGTTTATTGTGACCTTTGATATAGCGAATTAGACGCTGCCTGATCCGTTTCGCTTCGAGGAATCGATATGAACCACGTATAATAACACCGGGCGGCATGTGTAGAACCTTCAGATGGTAACCCCCCTTGGCGAGGTCGACGAGCCATTGTTACCGAGTCCTCGAACCACGGTTTGTACTTTTTCAGCCAAAATACTCGGATCAGGATCCTTCCGTTGGCTAGGTCCTACTTACCTTTCCCTGGCCTAAACTCGATGATAAAACGGACCTTGCGAGGGAATCGATAAAGAACTTGTTGTCGAGACTTGAAAGTCCGCTTTTGTCAGTGCACACCGGGAGAAGGCCCAGCAAAGATACGTCCAACTGGCTTTACCATCAATGGCGCTACTTAGGATTACGGCCGAACGGGTTAGGGCCGGAAATAAATGGGGCCTTTTCAACTGGTAAATCGGCAGAGGGTCAACTGAAATAGAGCGTCTGAAGAAACAGCAGGAACTGTGTCGGACGTAGGCAGATACGTAATGGCAATTCATCTCACAGGCAGACACATTGCTTAAATCTATGATGTATTATTTGATGCACACCCTGTGAATTACGGCATGTCCATGTCAGTAGGGATCCCAGGATTTGCATAAGTAAACAGGGCAAGGAACGGGATGCGATCATCCAAACTCCCCTCCTAGCGAGTTGATCTGTGACTCACAATAAGCTTCTCTTGACTCACTACTCCCTCGACGTCGTTCATCTAGAGCCCTAACTTCTCCTGTCCTCCTCTAATACCCTACTCTGTGCATTATGTGTCAACGAATGGCGTACGTGTCTCAGCGCGTCCACCCCCGCTCATCAATGCGAGGAACGCTCATCTCCTTTTTCGCAGCGATGGAACGCGTTGGTTGAAATGCATGGTTCGTAACGATGATGCTCGGCAGCGCCTCCCATAACCCCCCCGTCTTATTAGCATTTCCAACGCCACATGATTACCGCCATCGTGGATTGCAACTCCCGACGGTGCACACAAAGCCTAAGGCATCCCCGGGACTGTCGCCTGCCGACCTGTTTACAGGTCAGGGTCTTGTCAATTTCAAACGGGAGCTGATCTACTCACCGGGGGAAACAAACTAGAACTTTGGCGAAGAGATCCAGACAGATGTTGATAAAGTCGACGAGTACTGCTTTGCATGCCGTGCCGCCCAAGCGCGCGCTGCGCGCGACGCGGCCCGCGACGCAGCAGCAGCAGCTGCTGCCGCATCTTCATAAATACCTGTGATATTAATTCGTATTTGGCTGTGATATGGTTACTATAGATATGTAACGGCTGCCCGCATCCGTTATCGTTTACCCGAGACGTCTCAACGATGTCTGATCCCTAACTCGAGGGAAACACAAGCAATGGCGGAGAACTTCAACCCGTCGCAACTCCCGTAAGGATCATGATCTCACGGTTTTGTGGTCGACGAGATCAGAGAGTACTAAACGGGGCAGAATCTATAATTGCGTCTATGTTATGCCCTCACGAAATATCATTGGGGGCGGAGGCGATGTGGAGTAGACGCACTTTGCATGTCGATATACCCGAACGCAATGTTAGTTCCACACAAGCTTGCTTCCAAGTTTCTGGGGGTTCTCTAACTGCGTGTAACTGGAGTAACATATTTTTGTTTTAATGCAAGAAGAAAGACTTACTTGGGACTCGTGTGTCTAGGCCCAACAATCTGATGATGCTACGGCATCCGGGAACGCAGAAACCGCGTTGCTGCAGTATGTTGACGAATACAAGGACTCAGGCCTTCAGGTCCGAGGGCGGTGTTCACGTTACACGACCATTCATTCAATCCACGAACCGACCAACAGCCGCGAGAAGATGGTTTGTTGTCAACAACAGCACCGGATAATATGTTCGTGCAGTAGCTTGTGACATGGCAAGATAGGAAAACAAGTTGGTCAGGTATCCCGCCAGAGGCCGACGGCCACCGACGGCAGCTCAGCTGATCATTACAACTGCCTGATAGAAATTGAGAAGTTCATATGCGCAAATTTTTGAAGTATACTTACTGCCAGCGATATTAAGCTTGTTAGCTTTATTGAACCTTGTGAACTGTAACGTACCCCGTGCTAGAGTATGGCTCCCGGGCCGATCTCCCTTTCCAAACTTAGAGCGTGACAGGTAACATAGGTGACGCTGTGGCCAAGCAAGGACAAATAGCCTCGCCATCTTCCGTGTCGATCCGACAGACAACCAACTCGTCAACCCATGTACGCCTCTCTCGTTCGTCGCCAGCTCGGCGGGCTCGTCCCTCCAAAAATCGCCACCCCCAAGCTCGTCGTACGTGGTCCATAATGGGTTTAATTACGCTCTATATTCATGCAACTACCAGTCGGGAGGGTCAGGCGAAGGTCTCGCGCCCCTCGTCAACTTTTACTCGAAGCTCCCGAAGGGTTCTGCTACCGCGCGGACTGGTGGAATCAAAGCGCGCTATTTTCTCGGGAACAACGTGTCTGGTGGGCCCTACCTAGCACTGATTCTCGGGTTGCTTGGTATTGGGTATACTCTTGACTACCAAAGTGAGTAGCAGTAGTTCGTATTTTATCTAATTTGTTACTAACATGGTTTTACTAGCGCACTTGAGTACGTCCCTAATACCTCCTTATTCATATCAATGGAGCTCATGGGGAGTTAGAGCATCACAAGAACCACGCCCACTAACTGACAAATTGCGTTATTCGGTGGAGAGGTCTTCAATAGAGCAATGTGTAGTCAATGGATCATTTACGATTACCATCATCCAATGCCTTGCGCTCGACCATATGTTCCAAGGACCTCTAAGGAAACAAATCGCGACATTTCTACCAAGTTACGACAGCGGCACAGGGTGAAAAATGGTGCTTTGAGATAAATGTTGCCCTCCCGTTATATCTCTGTTGTATGCCTGTTGCCTGTCACTTTTGGAAAGAAGCACCGAGACTACATATCTGCTGATCGACGAGAAAAAGTCATAAGTCATTGCTGGTCATAAGGGCCTCTATACAGTACGACTACCAACGAATTATAATCTACACCTGGTCTAAATTCTAGTCGTGCGAAAATATGTAATAATGTCTAGTGGATTTGAATTCTACGCTCTAGGAGGGGGTATAGACAGACTGCTTTGGCACCCGAAATAAAAAGATGAATAAAGTTATGAAAGACTCATGATTATATCAACGTAGCGCGCTTTGAGCGAGCACGAATAGCCCTGCCATATCGGTAAAAGAGGAAGGGTATCGGGATCTATATTTCCAAGTGAGCTCATGCCTCAACGTCAGAGAAATTACACATACCATAGCTACAGAGACGAAACCCAACAATGACGCAGCCCACCCGTTACCAAGACCATGGAACATCTGCACCATGAATAAAGGCATAGCTGCGCCTGCACCTGATCGCACCACCTGCAAAAGAATACGATCAGCACAAGACCACAACAACGAACGAACTGCGGTGCATACCGTCTTAGCAGCCAGAGCCGAAGCAACATAATTAGGGAACGCGTCAATCAAGTAAGCGTTGGCGGAGAAATAGATGACGACCATTCCGAATCCGAACGGAATACCTAGGTACAGAGGAGATCAGATGCTGAAGCAACCAAGTCCCTGTAAGGTTTAAAACACTAACCTGCACTAGCCGGTCCGACCCAGTTACCTCCGCCAGGCATGACAGTAGGGGGACTTGTCCATCCAAAAATGAACAAGGCGATAGGTACGAACGGTGCACCGATCATCGAGCCCAAGAGACGGTCTTCTGGGTCCGCTCGGCCACCCTTTTTCTCGGCCTGCTTGAGATAGCTCTTCTCCAGCAATGGTGTAATGCACAATGCGATGCCCAGGCCGATGAATACAGAGCAGAACATGATGCCAGTGATACCATCGTTATAACCATAATCTTCTCCGAAGACGACGGGGAAGGAGAAGAAAAAAGCATACTGTTTCAACGCTTAGCGGGGGGGGGGGGAACACGTGTCGATGACAATAAAGGAACGTACCAGCAGACCGTAAATCAAAGCAATGAACAACGACATGAGCAACAGAATAGGTTCCGTCACAAGCATACCGAAAGGCCGGATGAGAGTATCTGTGATGAGGTCCGCAAAGGAGGTTCTGAAGATTTCCTGCTCAGTGACGATGTCGTCTCTGCCTGTCTTGGAGCGGAGCTTCGCAGCACGCTTTCTCAGCAGAACCGGCGCAAATGTCTCAGGGATGGTCAGGCAGAGCAGGAAAACGAAACCAGCGAAAATCATGTTGACCTGCAACACTGGTTAGGCGGTGCTTCGACCACGAGGAGAAATGACGAACCCAGATAATCCAGCGCCAGCCAACGGTGACTCCAATGAACCCCTAGCAGAAAGGTCAGCGTTCACACCACCGTAACGAAAGGGAGGAGTAAGACTTACGCCGACCAGGGGACCCAAGGCCGCACCGCCGTAGGGTGCTGCCGCGAAGAGGGCAATAGCAAATCCACGCTCGTTGTTGTCCCATATGTCACTGATGGTACTACCAGCCAGTGTAAGCGGTCCAGAAGCGAATATGCCGCAAAAGAATCGGCATATGAGGAGTGTTTGAATGTTCTTGGCTACAGCACATGGTATATTGAAGACTGAAATCGCACAGGGATCAATAAAGGTAAGCAGAATGGGGAAAAAGACGAACGTACTGAGGTATAAGAATGTTGGTATGACCCATAGTGGACGGCGGCCATACAGCTCGGATAGAGGAGAGATTATCAGAGGGCCGAGACTAGAGGGATGGATCAATTATGAGTGTTTTACAGACGCCGGTTCGTACATACCCGAAGCCACAGACCATTAGGGATACACTGAGTGCCGTCACGACCTCGCCAACGTGGAACTCTTCCTCGATGTCCGCGAAGTCACCAGTTATGACAGCGCTAGCAAACGCGACTGAAATAACGGCAAGTGCAGAGACCAGCGTTAGATCTATGAAAGAACGTCAATAACAAGGCCAGAGTGGACAAATAAATGTAACTCACACCACCGCCATACAGGCGACCAATTACGAGGATCCTCTGGGTCGTTCTCCAGCCATGTAACGAGGTATAGGTCTTTGATGGTTCTCGCCTTCTCTGGGTCTCTCAACAAGTCGGGGAGACCTTCATGTACAGGCTGTAGTGCAGATTCGAACTTGACATATCCCTTGTGTGATACATCACGGCCTTCTTGAGTTACTGCGTGAGAAGGATGACTCAGATCTGGCCTAGTGGAGTCATGACTCCGACTTCGCATAAGCTGAAGTTCGAGGTCAGGCGCGATGGTTGACGTTTGCGAGACGTCATCTAAAAATGCAGGGATGAGTCGCTTGACATTCTGACGAAGAAAAGAGTCAAATACTTACGCGACGGAATATTTGTCTCTTCGCTGGGAGGATAATGTACGTGTTCAGGTGCCATGATAATGGGAATGGCGAAAGGATGAAAAAGAAACTAGTACCGAGTTACAGACATGGCAACGATTTTATATAGCTTTTTCCAAAGTAGCCGTACCTGCCGATGGCGGGACATGAGCGTGGGTGCCGACATGAGTGGAAAAGACTTGAACACAGTCGCGGGCCATCCAGCGGCAACGGCTGCAAAAAGCAATTTTAGTCACGTGGAACGACGTTCGGCATTTATTCAATTATTGCCTTGGCGCTTGTCGGCTTCTTCCATGGCTTCCTATTGGTGGAGCATCAATATGGAAGCGCCGGCGATTATCTTCAAACTCTTTTATCTCGAAAATCAATGGTGAAATTGTCGGGTACCTGTTCATTACGGCTGATTTTTATTGGCCGTTCCCTTTCATCAACCTTTCATACGAAAGTCCTCCAGACACCTAAACGCCGTACCTTGGCAGGCTAGAACAAGATAGTAGATCGGCATTTCTCTTTTCTTTGCGAATTGAGCGGTTAAAGTAACGCCGCAGTGTTCATTATCTTCGCGGACTCTTCGCCGGACGGAAAATTGACGAGTCAACTTTGAGCCGGTGATACAAGATCAGCATTTTCAATGACATACGTACATCAGTGTACTGCACATTACAGTGATCATCAAGAAGCCATGGTTGCGCAATTGAGGGTATTCTACCGCGACGCGAGCAGACAGCCTTCTGTGTGCATTTCTAAAAATTGCGTTATGATTGTCTATCAACAATATACTCTAGCAGAGACCATCACCTCCACCATGGCGCGCCTTTAATGCTTTCGGGGACGTCGAGTGCAGTGAAACATGACTCCCACCGCACCCGGTCCTTCAAAACTCGTCGAATCAAGCCGGCCCAGTATGGATATAATTTCCGACAGCCTCGCAAAAGCTGTACATCACAGGCGACTCGGGGATAAAGCGCAATAGCTCCGATATGGTGCTTCAAGGGTAGAGGGTAGTTCGAACCATTCAAAAATGATAGGATGAGCCAAAACTATATGTAGTATAGATAAGACTGTTTAGGATAGAAGAGAGTTTGTTGGATGGAATCTGCACGGGAGCGAGCATTCCGTCGGCCCCGGGTATCCGTGAGCGGGCTTCTTCTGAGAAAGTGGCTAAGCTTAAACCACAGCATCTGAACAGGTTATTGTCCACGATGGGTGACAAAGATGCTGGCATTCCATTGACTGCGGGTGCGCCAGCTACAGACAAGTTGAGCTTGCCGTAAACGCAGGAATCTCAGGGTCTCAGGTTATTTTGTGACAAGAGCCCTTGCGATGAGGGAGCTACGGCGCCACCATGAAGTGTACTATACTGTCTTGAAAGAAGCATTGATTGCCTTAACTCCGACGGCCATTATCAAGGGTTTCAGAGAGAAAATCGATAAAGAGAGGTCTATAAACCCCAGAATCGTCATAGTCAGGACGCAAAAACCCAGGTATAAAATCATTGGCGTAACGACGGAGAGTAAGAGCTCGTTGGAGAGAATCTTGAATCCGTCTATTCTGCAGGAGCCGTCCAACAAGCCTGGCAGCACAAGGGTACACGTTCGTAGCCAAGACCTAACAACAATCCCGTTCGAGTCCGAATGGTGTCCTGACGGCGAAAGACTTTCCAAAAAGTAATGAGAAAACCCTCCTATCCAGCCACTACCCAGTATGGGTTTACACAAGGACGTAAGTGCACGGCCAAGAATTCAATGGACATTGCTATCCTGTTCCTGAATAAGTGGCGTCTCCGACGGTAACGATCACGGACGTGTCCAGAGGTTGTACAGCTGTACAGGCGCCGTGCGCTCTTGGACGCTCTATAGTATTGAAACTTCCAGGAAAGATCACACCGCCAAGACACACTTGGTACGGCAAGGGCTCATAGATGATACTAGAGCGGTTGACTGTTGTTCCAGCAGGGATACATTGGCGTAACACTATGATGGATATACGCAGAGTGACTGATGCATCATAGGTAAGGACTGTTTTGCACTCAGATAAAGGACCCCAAGAACGTGCATTGAGCTTATCAGGGTAAAAAAAGCATGCAGACCAAAGCAATGAGACATCCAAAGAAGGACCATTCAAGCCGGTAGATCGATTCCCTGTTCCCAAGATAAGTACGCGTTGATTCCAATGTGTGCACGGCGCCCAGTTGGAGGTCAAGACCGTCTAGCTCAGAGCTCGGCCTTCCAACGTACATAACAACTAGGATCGTCCCGGGCTCTGGATTGGGGCGAATCAAGCTGTACACCCACTAGCGACCTGCAACAGGGTTCCCGACGCCGACGCCACCCACGCGTAGTTTGATAGAAGAAAAATTCCGATTCGGAATTACCTAATTCGATTATCACCTCTACCTGGTATTCTGTCATGTCGGTATTCAGCCTCCCTTATCGACTGGGTGAAGCTAGAAAATTGTTGCCGATATTCGCAGATGTCCTTGGAATCAATCCGCAGTACAAGCGACTCATCGTGGTGGCTACTGGCAGCCATCGATGAATGCTGTTCCTTATCGATTGTCGTCTCTTGGCTTCAATTACGCCGGGACGCAGAGAGGTCTATCCTCTTCTTCAGGCAACTGATTCTCTCCTCGGCACAAGAAACTTCGCGCCGCTGGTTCAAGTAGGACCGCCGGACTTGCACTCCACCTAACTGATTGTGCCCCCGATGGCATAATCGTCGTAATTTATACATCGTGTAATCACTTCTGACAGAACTTTCTTTCTTCCACTGCACAGCCCCAGCAGGCGGAACATGTCGATCCCGACGTCATTTCCAATATCATTGCGGCGGCATGCAGAGGATTTGTCGACGCAGTGCGGAAGCTTTGAAATCCAGATGCCCTTCCGCGGGACAAGGTTGTGACGGCTCAAAACTGACTCTGATGATAATATTAAAGGAGCAGGTGGCCTGGAAGTTCAAAGTTAACTTGAATCTGATTCATAGTGGAAAACCGTATTGAGATGGTCCAATGCACAACCGTAGCCATATAGCATACCGCCGGCAGGAGCCAGGCTCGGCATTTTCCGGGTGAACTTGGATAAACAGTGATCTCATTCATTCACCTTAGCCCCTTTTCTCAGCAAAATGTTGGGAGACGTTTTGTACACGTACCAGTATATGGTAACTGGCAAAGTTCATTTCCTTGTAGTATCCCTACTCCAGACTCCACCGGCCTTGTCAAGGATTATGACAAGCTGTATCCCGCGAAAAAATTCACAGCGCCAGCCTGTTGTATCTCTTCTTCGCAAACTGTCGAGGAACAGCTTGTGGCCGGACTAGCGCACGGATGCAAGTATTTTATGGATGAGCGGGACGTGGAATGGCTGGAAAAACGCAACGAAGAAGCCCGAGGGGAAGGGACAAGTGCGCAGGCCGCACTCAGCGTCAACGCTAGAATACGAAGAGTAAGGGTAAGGAAGCAGATACTTCAACTCCCACTATAGTCAAAGAGGATGATTTCGAATTGGTAATGGGCCTATTTGAGTTGATCACCCACGAAGAGACAGAATAATACCTTCACCATGTATGCAAGGTTCGTTCAGCCAAGAAAGACCGCTTACTAATTTTCAGACAGATTCTCAAGGATGGGATGACGTTTCCCGAGTTTTCGAACTACCAAAACACGTTTTCAAATCCTCTCGAGAAATCTTACTCACTCGGAAGACCCGTGCTTTGTAGTACAATGTTTCCGAGAAGCTCGAGGTCTTTACAAGCCACTTTGCGGATGCTTGTGGCCTAGTAAGGAAAGTACGCCAACGAGAAGATGTAAAGCTTCGTTCCATGCGCCATTGGCATAATGTTTGGCTTGCTCGGGTATCGATCGTCAACTTGAAACGCAAGAATCCATGGCTTGATAAGGTTGATGAAGAGTTATTTGTTGACAGAGCGCCCGCTGCCAAGAAACCAGATGTGTTAGTCCTTCCAGATCATCTTATTATCTTGGCTGATTTTTTTCTAGTCGTCTCGCTCCCATATCGATCAAATCAGAGGCTCTTTTCGTCACCCCACCAGCTCGCACTGAGCCCGCCGTACGTCCTAAGGCGAGAATCGCTAAATACCTGTGCAGAACTCTTATATTCCGCCTCTTGTACCCTTTGCTTCTCGACTTTTCAAGTTCATGGCTCGTTCAAGTGCGTCTGCTTCGCCAGAGTCTAAAGCATCACAACGGAAATATGTGAGACTGCGTCGTGGTCGTGGTGGGCGGATGATGCTGGATCGCCGGGGCAGACATTCCCTTGTGCGAGATACGGACTCGGAGGATGTCGACGAGGAGACTAGGCGCTTGAAGGAGAGGTGGCGATTTGATTCAGACGATGCTCCGCCGTTTGGTGAAAGCTATGAAGAGCGGGATCCTGAGCCCGTAGCTGATTATGGTCTGAGGTGAATAAAGTTCTATCATATTCGTTACCATATGGTTGCTCAGTGCTATCCTTTTCAGCTATCTGCAACATACTTTCCGTCTTCTGTCGGAAGTGGACACGGCGCTTCTCACGGACCCGTCAATCGTCAAATACGACCCGGAGAGTGGTCGGAAAGAAACCATCGTACCGTTCACGTTCGGATTTTCCAGCATTGTTCGACCTCCCCCCATGGCGTCACCTAATTCGCAACGTACTATTTCTACTCCACCAACGATGAACGATACCGTTGGCACCTCTTCTGACGGTTCAGCTCGTCCCGACCTTGCCGTCGAGCCAATCACGCCGTCTTCCGTATCCTCAGCACCGTATGCCAAGGGTGTCCTTCATCATGCTCCCGCAGCGAATGGCACGAACGGTCGTGCAGCCATCTATCTTGGCATTTCCAAGGTGGAATCCACCATCCATCCCCCTCTTTCAACAGAAGTTTCGACACAGAATTGCGTCTCTCAGCCGGATGATTTATCAAGTACTGGTCTGAGCGTTCAGCAGACAATTAATTATCCGTTTTTCAGGGTCAGGCAGTCTGAACCCAGTGCATTTTTCTGAAGGGAATACCATGGTGATTTTTGCAGTCGGTATCACGCCTATCCAACAGCAACAATTTATCCTTTCCATAATCCTCCTCATGCCACTCCTCTATTCCGACAGATGGATCCTAACACTCGGGAACGCCGAATTGCCCGTCTCAAGGATCAGGTTCAACGGCGGCGTTATTTAAATTACTCTGAGCACTTATCTTCCACCGCAATGTCCTTTGTAGAAAGAATCTCACATTATGACAAATCTCCCACCCTGGTTCTCTTCCTTCTTAGGGACAAAAAACCCAGAATACATATCTTCGTTCCCTCCCCACCCAGAGGACATTTTGGCTCGGTCATGTCGGAAGCGAAAAGACAAAAGATGGCAAAACGCTCGGACAGTGGTCGACAGAAGTTCTGCATGTATAGATATGAATAATGACAGTAAGCGGCATGAGATGATGTTATTTCAAGAAAAGGAACATTAAATTCGGATTTCGCGAGCCAGAAAAGTACAATGATGTTAAAAGTGGTGGTATCGAAATGAAGATAATACACGGCAAAGCCAAAAGTAGGATCCGAAAAAAAAACGAAGGCAAGCATGATTCTACCAGCGATTACCATCCTGTGGTCCCTCAACATCGCGGTCAGCCTGAACCTGGCGAGCCATCATCTCCTTCTCACCCTCGACCTTGTTGTACTTTACCTTGCTTGCAACCCGTCGCCTAATCACCATGATCCCAAACACGACCCCAAATGCAACTATATACCCCACGGCGATACCAACAATGTACGCCGCAAGAAAAGATCCTTGTTGCTGAGGATCAAGGAAGTCGTACGCTGTAGCGAAACGATTAGCATGACGTGGGGAAATCTTGCCGAGAGTGAACACTTTCGCGACTATTCAGTGCGGTTGTATCCAAGTTTGACATGGATATAGTTTCACGGACAGCACTCGGCAAGGCAGACAATTAAGGACGTACTGTAAAACCCTTGAGTTGCATGGGTTATGTACGCGACCCCAAGATAGGCTCCCAACAGAACGATATTGGCTAGCAGGAAGATTGGCGGAGGCGGCGGAGTATTGGCGAGAAGGACCTCGAAAAGAGCATACAGAGAATTGAGGGCGTGTACAGAGATGTTGCTCCAAGTGTCAAAAGTGGAAGAAAACGTGCTTGGAGATGACAAAAGAACCCAAAATGTGATGGTGACCACGAACGCTATAATACATCAATACGGACCGTAAAACCGGTCGAATTTGGCTCACGGAACGTCACGACGGTCGAGTGGAGCCATATGTGCAGGAATTGCAACGTCTTGGAGAATGGCCAGGTCCGGAGGAGATACGTGCCGTTCCGTGCATACACAAGCGTCTGCACACCGGAGGCAAAGAAATATGAGCAGAGTCCGATGTAGGTGAGATGGGTGAAATAGGAGAAATAACTGTATTCACATCAGTTGCTAGGGAAAATTTAGGAAGAGAAAGAAGTGCACCCGTCGACATCATGAAGAACCACGCCCGCCCATACGAGAGATACCAGGAGGGTTACAAGGGCGTAAAGTGCGAGCAGAAGACGAACTGAGGCGAGAATGATTGGACGGCGAAGAATAGGGACAGACGATGAAACATATGCAAGAGTGGGATCAAAGGGCGAGGAAAGGAATTCGAGGGGGTGCCAGCGCGCCTTCATCTATGCAAAAGGAAAGACTGTAACCACTAAAATTGTACTCTTTGTATTAACAGGGGACCTGGTTATTGCAATACGTCGAGTTGCTAAGGTCTGTGCACGGCGCGTCGTCAAGCAATACGATCCCTTGGTCGACGGTGAGGCGAGGTTGGCTGGATCTTGGTGGTAGGCGCGGATGGGGGAGAGAAAGAACGAAGAAAAACACGACCGCATGCGATCTTATACTAATAGGTGATGATCAGGAGATGGGCACGTGGCATTTGGTATTTTTATAATAACTTACCCTGCTTCCCCCTTGTTTTCGGCGTTCTTCTGCGATTTGCATCGCCATGGTGAAGTTGAGCATAGAAGAGGCATTCGTTCATTGCCAAGAAGGGGAGGAGAATACCTCATGCGAGTCCTATCCTTATCCAATCTTCAATAATTGATGAATGATGGTCGCCCCTGGCGTGTGGTACATGGACTATCCTTTCTTGAAGCCCATCGGTTCCGATCCAAGCTCAGAAAGGCGGTATCTGTCGTTCTGCTGGTAATGGACTGCTTCCATTGATTATCTCTTGACGGATCATGGTTGTGTGCTTCTGTGCCGCAGCAGAGAGACAAAAGAAGTATCTCTTGCAAACGGTAAAGGCGCCCGAGTCAGATGTATCAGATGGCCCGGCCTCTGTCTTCGAAGGCTGGGCATATGGTTATACAGGAACGGATATTGTGAACTTTGACCTGCAGAACAACGAAGGAACCGTCCATCGGCGAGTATTGGACGCTGAAGCTCTATATCTAGAGGAGGGTAAAGGAGCCAGGATGGAAACGAGAACGATCCGTGGGATTTTGGTGATCTAACGAAATGTTGACTAGGATGTATGACCGGGTTATAGGTTCTGCTGGAGAAGTTCATTTCCAGTGACAGCTTCCTAGCTTCTCCGAAGGACAACGTTATGCCTTCTTGTGCCCGTTCCTAGTGTAGCAGGAGAAACGTGAATGCCATCAAAGGGCAGCTTGTTTAAACTTTATAGTCTGCAGGCTTTCCAGTTACATGCAGGAGCTTGCGAGGACATTCATAGCGTCATCGAGCGCAGCTACTGGACAAGGCGCGGTCCAAATTTGCAAGTGATTGTATTGTTCTAAGGCCACTGAAAAGGATGTAAGATAGACAGACTTTTGGGAAGGAAGATGGATTACCTCTGGCAATTATGGTGTAAAACCTGAACGTCGCATCCGCATGAATGAGGTACTGCTGGGTCCCAATGAGATATTTGTATCACAAAGACGTAGGTTCCTTCACTCTCGCAACCGAAAGATGACATAGGTAGGTTCATAGTATGCGACTGAGGCGATTTCTGGTAAATTGGAAGATAGGATCTGAGGGTTCCCAAGTGTAATGAAGAGGTTGTGGTAGAGATAATCAATCTTGATTTTTGAACAAGCAGATTGTTCATTTGCGTAGACAATCGGCAGAGGGATGGCAACGGTCCTCCAGACACCCGTCGACGTTATGCGAATCTTATAGGTCTCATGAGACGACTAACAGGGATAAACCATGATAAGGGACGTACTTTTTTCCTTCTGAAATATTTCTGAATCCTCAGTCGTGGACCTGGATCTCAGCACGTCTCTTGAACAGCAGACAGTATTCTGTACTCAAATCCGGCTGGACCGAGGGTTTTAAAAGTTGAAATCGGCATACAGTGACTGGCAGCTATCTATTTTATCAACAAGAAAGGTTAGAGACAGATGAATTCGAAGAAATGGGTACTGACCGTCGTTCAGCGAGAGCACCCGCTCCAGGCCTTCGCGACCACTTCAAGTTCGGAACTCCAGCAAGCCAAACTATGTGCACCCAAAACAACGAGATGAACATCCTTCCAAGGTTCCAGGTCGGGATTCGAGCGTCTTGTGTAATGGCAAGATGACCGTTGGTGACACAAATGGCGCACCGTGACTAGCAAAAAAATCCGAGGTTCTTCCTTCTTGCCGTGATAATGGCCTCCTTTTCTGGGATTGCCTTTTGCTGTGACTCTTTTCGAGCATCGACTCCTCCAATTTTACCGTGAAATGATACTGCCAGCTAGCTGGGATTCGGTGCCAGAATCAAGGCTTATCCAAGGAATGAGCAGTCATGAGCAGTCCGTCGAACATTAGCTGGACAAAGGAAGTCAAGAAGCACCGGATATTCGTTCGTTGGTATTTATTCTAGATCCCTCTCATTCATTAATTAACATGCATACAGTCAACTGCAATACCCTTACCGCCGCAGTAAAAAAATCAATGCCCTCACATGAAGTAGGATCCCGGGCCGGCACCGAGATTATCGCAGTCGTTCAAATCTGCAGACCTCGATGCTTCATGCATGGGGTGCGTTCTTGGGTATCCTACTCTTACCTCTTCTGACGCGTTCTGTAGCTTTTCGAGGTCCCTTCTTCCATCTTCTTAGTGCCACATGTGAACAAAGCAGAATAGGATATATCAGCTGGCTTTCCGTTAGTGCGTTCACAGCCGTTTGTACCTATGTTGGTGTTCTAATGGGTTCTACTAGTTCCCTTCACCGTGTTTCTGGTGGAATATTTCCAACCATCTAGCAGCAGACAGACCCACCAGCATGATCCTTTGACAGCATGGTCTGGAGGATTACGAAGCTCATACTTAAAGAATATACATAGCGCTCTAGAGCAAAGTCCGTGGCATCTTCACTGCACATTGATCGATCTTGTCAAAGAGCTTCGTATCTATGACCATCGATTTTTTCCGTTCTGACTAGGGCGACTGTCCAGTTTGACATCTGCAAGATACGCAGAGCGCTGTTTCGAACTGAAAGTCATTTCACTCTCCGCTACATGTCTTACTGCGATTCAAACGTTCTCCGGAAGGCATCTGTGTAACCAACCATTCGCACTTTATGAGGGTAACAGCATGGGATGCTCTGTGTCATTATGACGGAAGGTTATACGTATGAACGTTCCCGTTCATTTCGTTGCGGCTTCTAGGGACCCAAAGGGATGCATCTTTTTCGATGAAGATGGCGGTTCACGTCGAGTTTGGCGAGAAGGTTCGCCCCACCATGTCGCAGAGAATCTGTATAAGAGACGCGAGGCAACGCCGCTATCCCACGAGAGGGCAGGCAAGCATACCTCCACACGTCCTCGCAGCCCATAATTAGGACGCGATGGTTTCGCCTTGCACTCATTTCAGAGTGGCGACTTCTGGCGGGTCATGCGATGCGCTCGACAATTGATGATCATTCCCGGCGTGGACCTATTTCCTACAAGGGCTCAAACAACAACAGGAAAACAATGGCATCAACCACCACCAAGACTTGCATTACTTAGGAATTCACCGTGGACGATTAGTCCGACAACTTCGAGACCATCTCCTCCCGTGGGACTGCAACCGATCTGTCATCGTCACTTCAAGTTCTCGAACTTGGGCCTACAGGCTTCTTTGATTGATTTGCAGTCGAAGCCTGCTGAGGAGATGAGATGCACGGAGCTTGCGGGAAAGCGGTATGTTCCAAGCCATGGAGGGGTATGTCGCTCGGACAATTCTTTTGACGTTGGCTGATACATTTTTCTAGTAGAAGCCGACCTGGAGGTGCAGAAACGGCTGTTCTATGTGTCTAGAAGGAGCTGAGCCGAGGCCCTTGCACCTTCTGTGGATAGAGGATGCAAACGATTCACACACGCAAGGGCTCGAAGGTAATGTCTAGGAAAAACCCTTGTCATTGATACTCGCGGTGTCTTTGCTCCTCTTTACTGAGATCCCGAACCATCATAAATGATATTCGCGGTTGTGGTATCTTTCCCCTCCTCTTTCGAATGTCCTCTGAGTACACCGTGCGGTTCAGGGCACTTATTTCGATGTATGGCGAACCATCTCGATGAGATCGCAGATAAAAATAGGGGCCATGATCCTTCTTATTAGGGTATCCCCCGATGATTTATATCAATGCTACGACGAAAGAGGGTTGGTTGAAAACTTTCGCACTGCTACCGCATTATGACGATGAGGGGTGCGATCCGAAACGCCTTCGCGCTCTGACTCCCGCTCATTGTGTCGCCGACAGCATTTTCGCTATCAACGATTAGGGTGCTTATCCATGGCGTCTTAAGGCGTGAAGACTCATGATGGGATTTCACAGTAATTTCGGCCTGACTGAAAAATCAATCTTAGACACTTTGAGACTCACACTTTCGCAACGGCCACCATGACTCTCTATTCTGCTAAAGGAGGCGTCGAAACCTACCGCTTCCACTATACTGCAAACAGCAATGTCCCAATAGAGGCGAGCTGCTGGAATGAAGGGGAGAATCCGCCAATCCAAGTCCCTTTAACCGTGGAAGATCTTATTCATACCACCGAATATCTCGTCGCCGAAGCGCAAGAACTCATCAGAAATTTCCAGCCCGACAGCCCGAGGTGGTTCACCGACTTGGGTGGAAGCCTCGCTTCTATTTTGTCGGCTATGCTCGATTGTGCGCCTAACAGCGGTGGCGTGCGCTATGTCAGCTCAGCCATATTCACCTGCAAATCTTCTCGTCAAATCAGTCAATTGGCCTTGACATGGTTCGCGTATTTTCTCTGGCCTTGTCCGTCCTGTCGTATTCTATTGTGTGTTAAATCCCTACTGATTTTACCACTTGATAGTCAAAGCGCTGAACTGGTACTCAACTTTCGTAGCTCAAAGAACTGAGGTGCCTGAGCAACTTCCTTTGCATCTATATAACTTACGACGACAGGTTCGCTTAACGTTTGTCGCTCGTGACTCGGAGGAAATGACCCCTATCGTGTCTAGCTGTTTTATCAACAGAATTATCGTTGCCCGATATCAGGCATGGTGGAACTCGGCCACCCTAAGCTTTCCTCCGAGGTGATGTGCATACTCAGAACACATCATATCCTTCAAAGACCCATCATAGGAGAGGTAAGCACAACAATATATGTCCATCGTCCCAGCCAAATGTTCAAGTTGTAGATTGATTTCTTCGAACCCATCACGCGAGAGATCATACACAAATACATTAATCCCGGAGTGGACCTGAATTCAGTTCCAAATGACGATCCCAGCAATGCGTTTGCTTGCGAGCTCAATACGGACATACATTTCAGCAACTTTAGGATGTCGCTCAAGGAGACTACAGTGAGTGGACCCATACATCCCGATGCATGCCTACCTATACTGTACCCCTTGACAGAATGCCGATGAATATACAGTCGAAACGTATGGACAATGTCTATGGCCCAGATACTTTAAAAAGGTTGTCACCTTCAAAGAAGGTACACTGCGGCCCGATCCGCGATACCTCCATTTGCATGCATGCGTGGCGGACGTACTCCAGAAAAGCGGCGCAGCAAGAGTCATTGATCACATTCTTAAATGTCTGCCGCAAAAGAGGCGTCCGGCAGATATCGTTGATCTTCAGGGAGTCTTGAACATACTCGGACTTCGGTATTCGCTAGTTGCAGCATTTCAATTTCCCCTGTTTGAGTCCGGTTTTCTTGTCTCGTGAATGACGAGGCGTAAATTTTGATCCTGTATTTTGTATAGAAACATCAAACCGCTGATTGCTTGAACAAGATAAAACACGTCCAAGTATGTGCGGCGATCATTCTGCCCCATTAGATGACACAGTCAAAGGCCTTTGAATGAGGTATATGCTAGCGGACAAAGAAGACTTCGATCGGTGGTTAGGCTTTACCTTTGTCTTCGTTGACAAAGCATTGAACAAAAGCAATGTGCCACTTTCTCCTGGCTACATAAAGCCGCCACCTCACTCATGCATCCCTTGTCCTCTTTCTGCTATACTCACACATAGAGCCTTGGTAGTCCTTGGACTTCAAGCAGTTTTATTGCAGGTCATCATTGCACTACAGGACCATCCAATCATTGGCCGTTGGATCAGTCAGATGTCATACACTCTGTTGCAAGGCAATTGTTTCTTACTCCACACTCTGGAGAACATCACAGATGCTGACTTTGGCTCATCCCCTCATCCTAGTGTTTCTGATCATGAATTTAGTCCATGTCAAGCTTCACATGCTGCACTGCTAGCTGCTATTAGAACACCATTCCCTGCTCATGAAGACAATATCATGACAAACACAAGTGAGAACACTGTCCCCTCATCTGATGTTGGTGCTGGACCATCACAAACCCTGTCATCTGAATCCTCACTCTCATCCAATCCTGCTGTATCTGTCTTCACAGCAGCACAGGTTCAATTTCTCCTCTTCCAGCAAGCAGTGAGCTTCCAGGCTTCCATGCTACCAATGGCATCTGTGGTGGCTCCCACCATGATTCCTCAATTCCTGCCAGCAGCCCCACTTTCCCATAAGTCTTTTCTTGAATACTTTCCAGGTATAGATGTTGGAATCAAGTATGATTGAGCATGATTGATCATACTAAATATAGTATGCTAGACTTGGCATCTAAACTTTATTTAATTTATGGTTAAAATTTTGATCAGGCTTTCAACTGCCATTGTAAAGGTGGATTCCAAGGGTAGGGAACATTTTTGCAGGCCTCTGTGTGACTCTTGAGATTGTCACAATCTCTGTTGACACAGAAATACAGAGCTCTGCTCATCCATGAAGAGAGATTGCTGATGCCATCTCTGTTTCAGTGCTGAATCTCAGCCGATACTGATTCATGAGAGACATCAGCACCAGATGTCTCTTCTTCATTCCCACTTTTATCTTGCATCCCTAAGTGAGATGAGCTCTGCTTTCTCACTGTCAATCTTTCCTGACCACCAATCCCAGGCTTTGAGGCTTTGCCTCCTTCTTCATCTGTCAGTAACTCCTGTTGCCTGTCTTGGCTTTGCCAGACTTAACCAATCCTCATTCAGTATTACTGGACCATTATTGTATAAGTTATTGAGTTTTTTGTCCTTGACATTCATCTCTCAAATCTATTGATCTCATTCATAACCTCCAATCCATTGACCAATGTTGAATGTGTCACTGCCTTAGTGAAACATTGTGAAGACCTTGTCAAGGAATGTGTCAGAGGCACCATCAATGTCCTTGACTTTGCAGACAGACTTCACTGGCTTGGCATTTCATCTGAGGCTGCTGGAGATTATATCAGACTTCTGCAGAAGCAGATTAAGCAAGCTGGCTCATGAAGCTTGACCATTACCTCCTCTAACATACAAGATGGTGACAATGAGAACATTGGTGCATCAGACCACAGAGAGGCCACTCCATCAGACTTGTCTCAGGCTGAGGTCAAGGAGTTTTGACAAAAGCAAGTCAAGAAATCTAAGGCTGCTGCTGAACAGCATCAAGAAACCAGATCTCAGGCAGTTGAAGAAGCTGCTTGAGCAACACTCTATTCAAAGCTCTAATTCATTCATCAGGCATCTAGTATGAATGATCCCCAGAGCTCTATCACTACAGTTCTCACTGGCATTCTGGGGCTCAGCAATACTGTCTCACCAAAGACAGCTTCTATTTCTCTGATGGTCCTTGTCCAAGCACCTCACCTTGCATCCATTGTCACCACTGGCATCTCAGATCCTCATCTTGCTGAGTCATTCTAACTCAGACAAGTTTATGCAATTAAAAAGTCACTTGACAACCTCATTGCAGTTCTTTAAGCCCAGTCTCTGTCTGAACCTATTGCTTGGCTATTCTGGCAACTCATTATTCAGGACCAGTATGTTGACTTTTTGAAACTTTTTGCTTCAATGGACTGAGGATATGATCACAATGAGGAGGCAAAAGAGCTTATAGCAGGATATGCTATTATCAGAAAGAACATTTCATCTGCCAAGAAGTCTCTCAGGTTAGAATCTGACTGGTGCAGAGTGTATGATATCTGAGCTAGAGATGTTCAGGTTCTCTATCCACACCATGAGGCTGAACTCAAAGTTTATCAAGAATATATGGTCAAAGTTTTTCAGGCTGCACCTCATGACTCCACAGTTGCTATTCATATTGATGAAGAAGTTTGGCTGTGATATGCTAAGTCCTCTTTTCATATGGATGTCTGGAGTGAACTACAAATTCTCATTCTTACTCAGGTCTTTCACTCTCCTTCAACTTCTTCAGGCACAAAGTGATTTTTATCTGCTTCACTCTCTACTGCAAAAAGGTTGACAGTTTCATGTGAAAACTGGAACCTGGGTTTCTGCTAAAATCCATGTGCTAATCACCATAAGCATGGTATCTGTAGTGAATGTGGATCTGGACACTGAGCTAGGGACATCATTGAATGTGCCAATCTCCTCCAATCAAAAAGGAGACTTAGATTTGAAAGAGGTAACAGTGAAGGTAATAGCAGCAGCAGCAGGGTCTAGGTTTTTAAGGCCTCAAAAGTACAAATGTGAGGACCAAAATAATAGCCCATGTTTTAGGTAGAGCTATATCTAGTTGAATACTTCCACATCATCCATACCTACATCTCCTGCTACTCAATCTACTGAGTTGGCTGATCCTCTATCTTTCTCTTCTTTAAATTTACTCAATGATCCATCCTTGCAGGCTACACTACATGCCTTAAAGGATTTTATTGTAGTTGACACACCATTCAATGTCAATTGCTTGGAGAATATTCTTTATTTTCATCTAAATGAACTCTTTGTCTCCTCAGTCATTCATGGTCTTTGCAATGGATTCTGGCCTCTTGACCTTGGTGAATGGGAAGACTCTCTCTATAACCAGACCAAGAATTATGCTACTGATCCTCAAGATATCAATAAAATACAAGCATTTCATGATTATGAGATTGTGGCCAGATGTTAGTCACCACCTCTACCAGATGAGTTTACACTCTTGCAAGGTATGAAAGTATCATCTATGTTCATGGTCTGGCAGAATAGAAAATCCCATATTGTAATGGATCATACTTTCTCTGGTTTAAATGCAGGAATCTCTGCTAGTGAGGCAAAGGTCAAATATAACAATATGCATCCATTCAGTGAGACTTTTTACAATGCCAAATTACAACATCCCAATGCTGATTTCACTCTGTATAAAAGTGATGTTGCTAAAGCCTTTTTGAATTTACCAGTACATCCTCTATGGTAAATTCATCAAGTGGTCCTTGTTGACAACCAATATCATATTGTTAGACAGCTCATCTTTGGGAGCTGAGCTTCACCCAGGATTTGGTGCTGAGTCTCAGCCTTGTTATGCTGGATTGGAATTCATCATCTTGATATCACTGACCTCTATGTTTATATGGATGACTTCTTCAGCTGGGATTTTACCAATCACCAAGTTTTCTATTGAGGTCAGTGGCAACCAGCATGACAAGTATAACTTTTGATATTTTGGGAATATATCTCCTGTCCCTTTGATGATCTAAAACAGTTGTATGGTCAGACTCTCAAAATCATTGGCTTCTGAGTCAATGCCAATCAAAAAAGTATCTCCTTTACACAGCAGTCAGTTATCAATGCTAAATCTGAGATTGACTCATTTCTTTCAACATCTGAAAGAGCACCTATTCTATAGAAATGGCAGCATTTAGGTGGATACCTGAACTGAGTTCTGAATGTTCTACCATGGGGCCATCCTGCTCTTTCTTCTTTGTATAGAAAAATAGCTGGAAAGACTCTCTCTTTCACAAAGATCTTCATTAATGCTGCAGTTAGAGAGAATCTCCCCTGGTTTTTATCTATTCTGCCAGATTCTGTAGATGTTTATTTTGTCAACTCAGCTCTCTGAGCCGACTCAGAAGCTGACATGATATTTTGGATGGATGCTAGCTTAAAAAATGCATTATTATTTGTTTTTGCAGAAAACAGTTTTGTATATCAGCTTCATTCACTATCATCTAAAGATATGGTTGACATCTTCTTTCTCAAACTTGTCACCATTCTTTTGGCCATCCATTATGCAGTATCTCTACCCAAACCCCCTTGTCACCTTTTACTTTTTACAGATAGCCTTGATTCTGTCACTACATTTGATTCTCTATTAGTATCAGAACCTCTTCACAATGGACTCTTACTTGGAGCTGCAGGCCTGATACTCCATTCAGGAATTGACATTTATATTTGACATATTGATGGAAAAGATAATATTCAGGCTGATATGCTTTCTCAACTTCTTTTGGATGAATATCATCATAAATTCCCTGCTGACCATATCCACACTTTCACTCCACCAAGAGACCTACTGCTGGTATGATGGAGACAATCTTTCTAACTGTGCTGAGCAAGCATGCTCCTTGCATTGCTTGCTTAGCTTTCTCTCTTTCTCTTCTCAATGAATGTATTCTGTTTCTCCAAGCTTATGTGATTGAGCTCAGAGTAGCAAAGAGTTATGCAACAGGAGCATGTGACTACATACAGTTTTGCATTATTCATGCACTGCTGCTTAAACCAACATCACTTACTCTCAGCAGGTACATCATCTATACATCCCAGTTTATCTCATCTAGCCCAAAATACTTGACTAGAGTCTGTCACTTCCTAAAAGACCTCTATCCTGACTTTGATACCAGTCACAAACATTCCATGGTGTAAGCTACCATCCATGGCTCAAGAAAGATGAGAGATGATCTCACATCCTAAAAACTATCTCTTCAATTATCCCATTTGATTATCTTTTGTCTTCTTACTAACATCTTAGATTCTTATGATGATCTCTTATTTGCCACCATCCTTGCTTGCTGCTTCTATAGCTGCCACTGGTCAGATGAGTTTATTTGGAAAAATAACAAACAACTTCAGAACTTTTGCAAAATAATCAAACATTCTTTCTTCATTCTCCAAAAGAATGACATATAATATCATCTTTTTTACAACAAGTCTGACCTCTTCTACCATGGCACTGACATCCTACTCACATGACAGGAGCTTGCCAACCCAGTCATGCTTCTATTGCAATATATAAAACATTGAGATCTTCTTCATAGTCTACATGCTCCACTCTTCCTCTGTGAAAATGGTGATATTCCATCACAAAATTGGTTTGACAAGAAGTTTTTTGCAATTCTAGGCAGAGACTTTGGTGGTCACTCCACTAGGGCTGGAGAAGCTATGTTTTATGCATTGCTCAGACTTTCAGAGTCTATCATACAAGCTCTTGGTCAGTGGTCTTCTAAAATATAGACCACTTACATTTGGAAACACTCTGCCCTACAAGCACAACTACAATTGGCATATTTATGCATTCATCATCTCTCTCTCTAATCTGCAATCTGTTCAACCTTCTTGAACCACCACCACTCCCACCTCTCACTAATCAAAAGCATATAATAGCCATTCACATGTTGCAATTACTTTAAGGGCAGTCTCTGAGGCTCTTGTTATAGCCAGTTATATCCCACTCTTTGAGTGAGCAGCAGAGGCCATTGTAAAGGCAGATTTCAAGAGTAAGAAGTATTTTTGCAGGCCTCTGCATAACTCTTGAGGTTGTTACAATCTCTGTTGACACAGAGATACAGAGCTCTGCTCATCCATGAAGAGGGATTGCCAGTGCCATCTCTATCTCAGTGCTAAGTCTCAGCTGATGCTGATTCATGAGAGACATTGGCACCAGGTGTCTCTTCTTTATTCCCACTTTCATCCTGCATCCCTAAGTGAGATGAGCTCTGCTTTCTCACTGTCAATCTTTTCTGACCACTAATCTCAGGCTTCAAGGCTTCATCTCCTCCTTCACCTGTCAGTAACTCCTGTTGCCTGGTGAGGCTCTGCCTCTTTATTTATCTCACAATTGGCTCACTCAAGTAGTCTTAGCTTCATCAGACTTAACTAATCCTCATTCAGTATTACTGGATCATTATTGTACAAGTCATTGAGTTTTTTGTCTCTCACCCACCTCTCTCTTGTATTACTAGATAGCCATTCACATGTTGCAATTGATTTGAGGGCAATCTCTGAGACCCTTGTTATAGCTGGTTACATTTCACTCCTCAAGTGAGCAGCAGAGATACAAGGATTTCTTATTTATTTTACATTTAATAACTTCTG